AACGAGGAGAATGGTCCAGAGACAGTCCCTCGATTTGGCGGCCGACCTCTGGTCTTTCCATTGCTACCGGTGTTACTAGGCCAGGCAGATGACACTGCCGGGCCATGGCGTCGTTTAGGTCGCGCCTTTTCCCCGGAAGAAGACATTGTGACCGCCGAGCGCGGCTCTGCAGGCTGAATGAAGACTTCAGAATCATGCTGGCTCCTGGGTGCTATAGCAGAATGCGGATAACTCCCTGGGGACGAATCTCGTTCGATAGGTCGCCACCGCAGGTCCTGGTTCGACTGCGACGAAGGCTCAGAAGTCCCTTCCGGTGGGAATGGAGGTGCGCTGCCCATCCACGGATCATGCGATCCCATCTCGTCAGGGAAGGTGCTAAATGGCAGCGCACCTGGTGGATATGGTGTTGGAGGACCTGGGAATGGCCCTGGCTGCAGCACGCCCATTATTGGATCGAGATGGGGCCTTTTCGCCATGGCTAGTCTTTCGTTTTCTTCCTCGGCTCGCTTCCGGCCCCTTTTCGGCCTCCATTGCGGAACCAGAGCCCGTAGCGCAAGATCTTCTTCCAGTGGTACTCCATCGCGGCTGTCGCTGATTACATTGGCAGGCGGAAGGTGGGTGTAATAGGGATGCGGGTGACCAAGACAATACTCGAAAAATGCATCAACGTGCATTGCGCGCATCCAGCGCTAGCAATTGGTTAGTCCACTAGCCACATATTCTGTCCGGAATAACATTAGCGACAAACCTTGAGCCGAACAGCATATTGCTGGACCTTTTGGGTGCTCTGTTTCTTCTCCAAGGAAGGCGGTTCTACCCCCAGCTCGATCGCCAGTTGTATCCATGTCTTTAGCTCCTTACTATCTAGCTTCCGAATAAGCTCCCACAATGCGAATATACTGAAACTCTTGCCATCACTCCGGGGTGGGCAGCGAAAGTTCTTGCGGAGCTCTGAGGTATCCACGGATAAAGGGACATTTGGATTGCAATAGAAGACAAACATGATGTAGGCGTCATCAATGGAGCTGTCAGTCAGATCGCGAGATGGCAGGGATCGTGATTCTGTCTGGTCCATCGACTCCCGTGGCGGCCGTGGACGAATAGAATTATACATTGGAGGCGAGATCGAGGGTCCTGAGTGCGCCACCATTGCAGGTGGAGGAGGTGGAGGAGGCGGCGCTATCGACCGTGGGCCGGTTGGCGATGCCTGAAGACTGCGCGGGGTAGCTTTGCGCGCCAGAGGTGGAGACTTTGAGGGAGCTATGTGAGTGCGAGCACTGCCTATGGGAGAAGCGCTATGTAAACCAGGCTCCAGAGCCGGAGGATACCTTGCGTACTGTTGGATGACCATGGGTGGAGGCCCTAATTCAGTCCGTTCCGGCGGCACAGGTTGGTTCATCACGTTGGGAAAGGAAGATTCCATCTTGGTGGTTCTTTTGTGACACAAAGCAAGCAAAGAGCAAACACTGTGATTATGTGGACAAGAAAAGGGAAAAAGAAAGGAGAGAAAATCGCCGGATCGAAAGCGATTCTTTATATTTAATAGAGAGATTTTGGTGCAATGGTAAACACAGGAAGTAGTGACGATAATGATAATGATAATCAGAATAATAATAAGGATAGGAGGGAAGGTGGAGGAGTAAGTAGTATCATATGGATTTAGCTTTTGACTCGAAGAGAGATGAGATAGGGCAGATCTTCTTTCCAGCACGCGCCGACGTCGTAAGACCCTATCAGATCGCAAACCGCACGGGTAAAATTAGGGACCAGCCCAATGACGAGTAGTGCGCATGGGAGACAATCGATGGTTTAGGGGAGTTCGGGGGGTTGTTTTTCTCGCAAGTGTCAGAACAGGCAAAGATGATACCCGCTCGGGATTGTAAGCATCAATCCACGACGACGGCGACGAAGATTCGACCGACAGAGCATTGTCCCCAGGCGCCAAATGGAAGGGGGAGGAGAAAAAGAGGAGAAGGTGGCTGGCCGACGGCGGCGCTTTAAAGAAAGCCGGTGATAACTCGATTGGGAGGAGCTGACTTGACTTGTTTCTATTTCGGGACTTCAGGCCTATGCTGCGATGCCTGTTATAGTCTAGCGTTGTGGCCTTAGGGCGGGGGAACTTGATGCCTGGTCCTGTCACGCCGTCACACTCATCACATGTCTCCCCCGCTAGTCTACTTAGGCACTAGTGAATCCGCCGAACCCCCCTTATCGATAATGCCTCCCGCCTCCCGCCTGTCCGCCTTTCCGCCTTCCCCAACTGGGAAGCTGCGATGGACCTGGAACGGCGACATCATTCTTTCCTTTTCCTACTCACTACTCCGTAACTCACCTCCTCTTTCTTTCTCCTACGGCCAATCCTTTTTTTTCAAAATTTTACCTGCTCTTCTCACAATCTCTTCTCATCTTTCTTGGTGTTTATCCAGATGAAATGCGCTCCTCTCCCCTGCATCCCGCCTACCGTACACCACCTGGAGCTTAGTAGCAGCCGCACTAGCAGCAACAGCTCCTGTGCCGCCTGCCACTCCCTGTGGTCTCTCACACCGCCTACTATTAAATCAGTTTACTCGTCCCGCCATGGCTCCGTCATCGAGATCGTCTCGTCCCATCCGTTCCAGTCGCACCCAAGTCCAATCCTACCATGAAGAAAGCAGCTCCGAAGGTCGTGATGACGAAGATACCCAGTCAGACGAGGAACGAGCGAGGCGCTTGTCGCTTTCGCTGCGCCCCCGCAACTCAGCTCGCATGCCCAAATCCTACCGTGAGGAATCCACTGACGATGACTTTGATGCCACCAATGATGAGCCGGAGGCTGTAGTCCCTACGATTGACGCCCCTGAGCATCTTAATTACCCGTTTACTGAGACGAACAGTCGTTCCGCGCCATCACGAGCCCCGCGCAACCGAACGGTGAAGACTCGCTCCCAGACAAAGAACGTGGAAAAGCGCACGGGTCGGAGACGTATCGAGCTTGGCCGACCGCTCAAAAAACGTAGGAAGGTTGAGGAAGATAATACGCCAATTGTTACTTCGGGAGTCATTCCACCATGGCAAACTCTCCCATACCACATACTCTTTGACATATTCTCCTGTGCAGCAAGCCCACTAATGGATGAAAAGACGGCGAGTAGGCATAGCTCCGTCCAGTGGCTCGTGAACGTTGCTTTGATGTGTCATGCGTTTCATGAACCTGCGCTGGCGGCTCTCTATCATTGTCCTCCCCTCCTGCCAGCAGCCAAGGCTCATGCTTTGCTACAGCTCCTGGCTAAGCCCCAAGACTCTCTTTCCACTAATTACGTTAGCAAGGTCAAAGAATTGCATGTTGACGTTGAGAGTCTCTTATTCTACAAGAGCGGACCGACCCTGGGCTATTTTGAGTTGTCAAGGCTAATTGAACAAACCCCTCAGGTCAAAACACTGCGTCTCTACCATAAAGAAGATTACTTCCTGGGCGGCTCCCCCTGGCTGAATCCAAGGTCCAGATGGACATATCCGGACTCTCTCTTTGCATCACTGGTCTCCAGTTCAATACACCTGCGGTCATGGGAGTGGAACAGTCGTTTCATGGAGACCAGACAGTTGCTACCCACCATGCTGGAAAAACACCTGCAGCCCGCATTTCATAGACTCCAGGAACTTCGATTGTTGCACTTGACTTCGGAGGATGCGGATGGTGACGAGTTGGGCTCCGATGAAAACGAAGTGGTTCTCGCGACCGCCCTACGAGAACTCCCAGACCTGCGCCGCTTGGAATTTGTACAATGTTCCATTGTAAACGAGTACCTCTTTCCAAACTTGCCGATGGGACTTACTTCACTCACCATTAATAATTGCGACAACGTCACTGCCATGAATCTTGGCTCATTTCTCTTTTCCCATGGCCATCATCTACAAATTTTAGATCTGAGACATAACCGCCATCTAAGCCTAGCCTTCGCTGTGAATCTTGGAGAGTCCTGCAAGAATCTCGAGAAGTTTAAGATGGATATATCCATGTATGATGCGTCAAGCTATCACGACGTCGAACCCCACTTTCAAACCCTGCTTGACCTGTCAACCGGTGTTCCAACCTGGCCATCCACGCTGCAAGACATTGAAATGATTCAGTTGCGTAAATGGGACGATACGACCGCCGAGGTCTTCTTCGGAACGCTCATCGATGCGGCGTCCGAACTGCGAAATTTGCGACGACTTGTGATCAGTGCAATCCTCAAGATCGGCTGGCGAGATCGTGCGTCCTTCCGAGAAAAATGGATCGGAAAGTTAGAGAAGACGTTTTTACGACGAAGTCCACCCCCGGACCCCAACCTGCGTTCTATCCCTCGCGCCGCTCCGCAATCAGATGTAAACCACCAGAGTCGTAATCCACAAGCCGAGGAGACTCATACGCACTCTGACACCCAACATAGCGGGCTTTCGACGCCATCTAAACGCAAGAGCGCGCGTCTTGCTCTGAGGAAATTTTCCGAGACCGGCGATGATGAGACCGAAAACGCAGAGAAGCGGCAATCTCGGGAGGCCAGCGACAAGCCACTGACTGCGAGACAAGGCATGTGTGATGTTGTGATGGTCCGCATTGACAATCAGCGTCCGTCTGAGACACAATACAATGAGGGGGATTTTCTCGACGACGAGCTCAGTGGCGATGAAGACTGGAACGGGAATGATCTGGACGTCAATGATGGGAGACACGCGTGGTAAACTGATCTTTCAGACCTGTTGGCGATTACTTTTGCTTTATTTAGTTTGTTTCTCCTGATTTTACATGATACACACTGGGTAATTTGGTCAAGGAGTTCGGGATCGATAAAGTGTTGAATTCCGGGGATGGGGAGTTTCTTCTATAGGTGGGCAATAGGACTACGAGTGGACTGTTTTGCGATTTTTACCAAAGTAACATCTCTACTTTGTATCTTATGCGGGCAATTTTACCAATATTAGACGAAAGTTCGAGTGAAGCAATTGGTAGAAACAAGAACTCTATCATGGGGTAGAAGCATGCTGCTTGTTCAGAGGTAATGGTATTTCATATAGTTCCACATCAATTTATCAAGACACGATAACTGTCTGCCATGATACACTGAATGATACAATCCGCCCTTACAACAGGGACTCCTCCTGGTACTCCAAGTTACCGTTTCTGTTGGTGATGTGCTCGGCCAGGTTGACATCAGCGTCAAACTGCTCGCCCTCGGAGTTGGAGAGCTTAGCTCTCAGAACGGGAACATTGTCCTCGCCCTCGATGGCGAAGCTGATCTCTTCGGCGCTGCCAGCGAAGTCGTTGCCACCCCACAAGAAGCGACCTGTTGAGTGTAAGTGGTTAGCTTAGCTATAGAAGATGGCTGCACTCCGGTGGCCTGGTGACATATCACTTACCCTCCTCGTTTCCAATGCAAGAGTTGAGATCGAATCTAGATTCCACCATCTCTCCCTCTTCGTTGGCGACGATAGCGACCAGCCAGTGGTCCTCTTCGACGCGGATGTCCTCGGCGGTACGGTAGAAGCTCATTGTGATGGAGTTGTGAAAGAGGTTATGAGGGAATGGATGGAAGATGAATGTGTGATGAGATTGATTGCTTTGTGGTTGTGGTTTGTTTTGTTGATGGAGAAGACTGTTGAACTTGGGATGGAGGGGGGTTTTTATACCTCGTCGAGCCTCAGTGGAGTCGGCTCATCGCAGTCACCAAGAGATGCTGTGCATAGATATCATACACTTGGCCTCAGGTCATTTGCCAGTGGCTTGAGCACTCAATTAATTGATTGTCGACAACCTGGTAAGTAGGCAGGCCATTTTCGTGGGGGCTTCCTGGGATAGGGGAGTGCTATGCAACAACCCCAGTATGGAGTGAAGCACCAAGAACGGTGATTTGACGGTTCAACGTTGCTCGCCCCAGAAAGGCGCCGAAATTCCCACTATTGTGGCTTGTTGCTCCATAGAATCGACAATTATTGTTTCATGGTGGTCTCTGGGGCCAGTATTCCCCCACTCCGCGTGCTCAATGAAGCTTCTTGGCAGACAGGTCAGCGGTGGACCCTGAAAGGGTCCTTCCCCCTTCATCTCAGCCACAGACAGGGCTCCATCTCCCTTGCTAGTCGTCCGATTCCCTATAGTCCTAGGCAGCAGTCTTGGTATGGCGCTTGGTGCATGTCATGACCACCCCCCCTGTGCGTTGAAAATGGAATGGCGACATGCTTGTCATCGATGAGCATTTGCGGCTGGTGCTGGATCCGGCTGGTCGCAGATGCGTCGTCCATGGGCTTCTGTTGGGCTGACGGTCACTGGGCGCAACGACGCCCCACGGGATAATCCCTTGGCAAGTAAATCAGAGCCGACAGAATGACATAAGGCTGATTGACAACACTGGGTTTCTAGACTGAGCGATTCCGGGCGGAGTGGCTGTGTTTCAAACTTCTTGTCTTGCTGGCCAAGACGTTGAAAATGCCCCTGACAGGGCTGAGTGCCTCAGGCAAACAAAGAAACTTTGGAGCGTTTGGGAGACCGTTGGCTGGCAGCGCTTTGTATTCCGCGGATCCAAAACCTGTGGTGTGGCTTATCCCAGGAAAACCCCGCTATGGAAACTGTTTGACCTGGCGAATCCTCTTCTTGGCACGCTGTTGATGGGGCGAAATGCCTCCCAGCGGATGAGCACATTACCCCTCTTGCGTGGTCTTATTGTTTGTCTAGCCTTTCCTTGCATCGGAATGCCCGCTTCGCTTGGTGCCCAGCATCGGATGCGATGCCGATCTGTAACAGATGCTATGAATATCGCAAGCGACCAGGCCAGAACCAGTGTATTCGGTCTCTGTTGGCTTACATTTGTCCCGCGGGCAGCTTAACTACTAGTTAGCTTATAACTCAGCCGCATATCTGGCTGCGAGCTAACGCATCTGAACAGAGTGAGACAATAATGATGATTGTGGTCGAAGTGTCCTCTTTCTCTTCGGCTTTGACTTCTAAACCAAGGTACCCCAGTCGTAGTCGGCTTCTGTCTCCCCCGGTCGCTCCTTCCCAACACAGCAGATTCATCAATGGGAAGCCTTGGAACAGCGGACCATGAATAAATGGATGGATTAGTTACTTGATAAGGATTCCCCTGCAAGGCCTGCTTCCAAGGACCTTACCTTCGCATCCGTGATGACGATGGTCCTCATAACAACAAAACATACGCCCGAGGTATTATTCCCCACTATCATTTCCAAGCTCTTTCTGAAAGCAAGTGACAGCCCTCACTGGCGTCTGATGCTCTACTCGTAAGTCTGACCCAGCTCAGAACACACTGTAACGAGGACAGATGAAAGGTGTTATTCCATAAGCTACTGTGGCTTTTCTTCAACTCTTCTTATGGACATAAATCACCCATTCGTCAACATCTAATTCATGCGCATTTCCTACGCCTCCAGTAAGCTGATGTTACATGCGGCTTGCCCCTAAGAATAAGAACAAGGTTCGGGCCAACGAGCGGGCCCGTCCTTCCGCTCCCTCAACCACGGTTCTTCCATTCCTGTCAGCCATATGAAGTGTGATATGTTTATGATCTACTTCCTAGACGTAGTCTCTTACCATGTTATCAATCTATCTGATTCGGTTATAGACAGCCTACTTTGGATGCTTGCGACCGCAGCTATCTTTGATTACCAACAACCAGTACTATACCAACATCAAAATCATAAGTACCAGCAGAGACGCGGATATTCCATATGCAGGAAGCCGAAGTGTTGCATGTCCGGCTCCGTTTGGCATTTCGTCTTCACATTGTTGTCGAGTACCGCATCGTGCATGTAGTTTGTTTGCCACTTCCCTGTTCCATCCCACCATGACAATCCCATGTCCTTCCGTGATGCGGGGATATTATCAGCCCTGTTGGCAATTGTCAACGTCAGCAGCTGCACCCCCTCCGGGTAACCTTCTCCAAGCCCTCTTACCATTACAACCACCATGCCTGACCAGCGGAGGGGTTTCTACCACTGCTAGCGCGAGACTGAGCCATGCTTATTATGATGTGTGGCATACTGTTGATTGACCCAATGCAATTGAAGGCTAATATAAGCAATCACACGCACTCAACCTCACGTGGGTTCTGTATAGTGAATACCTACCATCGCGTCTTTCTTCTCTAGTTCCCCTCGCGTATCCCCTCATCTTTCTTCTCTTTCCGCCTCCTCAATTGCTGGTGGAAGGCCATCGTATGTTCATCCGGGTCCCAAGCCAAAACTCTACTTTCCATTTCTTCCAACTTCCGTGACACTAATTCTTCCATCTTATCCCTTTCCTGTTCATCTAGCAGATCAAGTCTCTCTCTCCATGCTTCCTTGTAGTCCGCTGTAGGTCCAAAAAAGCGTGGGTCTATCTTTTGCCAGTAAATTGCATCAAAGGCAAAACTATGCGTTACTGCATATATAACCCAGAAATCCCCACTTTCCCAGCTCTCGCGCATGTGGTTCGACAGCCGTTGATTCTCTTTCAGTCGATCCTTTTTTATCGCGTTGTCTTCATGTTCCCTCATCACCCTAAGGAACGTCTTCAGTCGGAAGTCGAATTTTTTGATCCAATCTTCGAGACCCTCTGACCAGTACTCGGGCTTCTCTATGAGCAACCACCAAGGAGGCGCATAAGAAAACTCGGCGGGTGCAGCGTAGGTGAACTCCCAATCGACCACGCCAGCAAGTTTTAAATCACCATGCAGAAGCACGTTAGCTGGGCGTAAATCATCACACCATAGTTTGAATGGCCCTTTGTCGAGCGCAGGATTGTTGAGTCGCTTGTCCCTGGCAAGTTTACGAAAAAGCTGTCTCGCCACAAATCTTCGTCGGCAGTCGTCGGCAGAGTCCACGGAATCGTTTCTTTGTTGGATGAGATGCTCAATATTGAGATCTGCGAGAGCTTCGAGATACGAAGAAGTTGTAGTGTATGTAGTGCGTATGTCAGGAAGTTTCGTCTGTGGTAGGCTCCCGACTCGGACGAGTTCGTTCATGTTCATGGATAAAGGCCGGCGTGTTACGTCCCAGGTGAAGTCATCGATCTGGCTGGGAGAGCCTATCCGAGGGAGAGATGGAATGGAAAGCTGGAGTAAAATGTCCGCCATTTCCCCATAGAGCATTCGAAGCCTGTCATCGCTGATAGCCGGATCTAGGACCCCGCGTTCTTCTTTCGGGAGTCCCGGAGTATTGATAGCGTCGTACATATTTGTCTCATGTTCGATATAATCCATGATGATAAATGGACTCAACTCGAGTGGACTCTCTTTCTTTGTTCCCGAGTGATGGATAAATGGTATGGGTATTGATGTCTTGTCCGCGAGATATCGCATGGTAGCAACCTCATTCATGACTTTCTCCTCTGGGAAAAAGACAGCGCCGGGCTGCGACAGGCGAATAATGGTAGCTTCATGTTCGTTCTTCAATCGCAACGAAATGTTATAAGAGCCTCTCTCAAGTATTCCGAAATTGTTCCCCTTGCATCCATTCTGATCGATCATGAAATATCCGATCGGTCTTAGGACGTCAGGGTCGAGGATTTGAAGCAGCCAATTGTCTGATACTTCCTCGGCTTGTTCCCAGGCCACATCATCGAAACGCATTCGGGGTCGCATATTTGTGTCACTGGCTGGTTTTCAATAAGTGTGTAAGAAAACAATGAAAGTAGATGCAAGTATGCGCAAGATTTCTTGTAACACTGGCATCGTAGTATTCCAGGGGGCTGAGAGAAGGCGGGGGAGGAAAACTCGACAGGGGTGAGGCTTCCCACTGCAAAAGAAAACAGGATCCATCATATGCACGGTGCCGTTGCGGGAATTCTCGAGGAACAGCACCATCCTACCTAGATAGCAACTCTCCTCAACACTATGCAGACACTGGAAGAGGGATACATCAATCGTCCTTGGATCCGAATTGTTTGCCTTTCCATTGCTTTGATAGAAATACTCGGCCAAGCCTTGGATAGACAGAGGATGTGGACCAGCTCATCATGGCCAGGAGTACCTATCGTCGTTATGATGAGTCTCTGGTATGGCATTGATAGTTATGGCAGTCCACAATCCTAGATATCATCTAAGAGAAACCCCATTCATTTGATAACCCCCTTCGTTCTTGATCTCTTCAGGAACATCTGTCTGCTGCAAAGAGCGATCGAAGCGATCTCAGATGGTCACAGCATGGGCGAACAATTAGGAACGGGAGAAGAAGTGTCATGGAATGAACAGTAAGATTTACGAGCTTAAGCACATGACATTGCAGTTTATGTATTTCAGTTTGCACATGTTGACAAACCACTCTGTACGACTGAATTTCCTAAATCATGGCCAGCTGTGCATTCTTGCTTTTTCAATGATCAGAATTCAGTGCTCTGACCTGAGATAAATACCTGGGCGCTTCCACCGGATATTTGGCCTAGTACTGCAGTCTTATTTAGTTGTTACTGGCATATAAAGTACTAAGTAGGCTGCATGCACGGGCCATACCCGTGCCAGAAAAGCTTTCGCACCGCACTATAAACTTGAGTTTGTATCATATACCTTCCTAGTAGAACCAGAAGCATCTTGGGAATATATGATATAGCAAATAGATGGCTGTACTGCCGGCAGGTGCTTGGTATCCGTGTTGTCCGGTAAGAAACAACGTCCTCCAGATGTTTGGACACTTCCAGAAGATAATATTTATACATCGTTTCTCGAGCATGAGTGAAATTATGAAGGAGATGTTCCAGAGAGTACTTTCTAGACGCTTACACGTTGCCGATCCACTTACATGAAGTGGGGGCTGACCCGCGAGCCAAGCGAAAGAGAGATCCTTTTGCATCGTTGTTCATGCCTCGCCGAGGACTTCCGGAAGTACGTACAGAGAATTTTCTGAATCGTGTGCATTTGGAGCTACACAAGTAAGCGGCAAAAAGTCCTTCGATCAACCCACTTTTGAATCTCCACCCACGCGTGGATTGGATAGATGTCAAAACGTGTCAAGGCTGGAAACTCAGTCGTCCGATCCATCTGCATCTTATCTGCATCTGATTTCCGCTGACAAGATACGAGTGGCGAAACACGATCATCTTTGTTTGCTAGGGAGAAAATAGTCCTGAGCTACTATCGTGACGACTATCTCCAAGGGGGATTCGAAGAAGGCAGCCTAGCACCTGAAGTGGTAGTCCAATCTAATAGTACCATCTCAGCTAGTCGCAGCTCGCCACGAATCGGGAAGCGGGAAGCCCCCTCTCTTTAAAAGGAACAACCCTGACAGCGAAGGAATCAGAAAATCGACCCCGATCGAATGTCATCCATCTTTCTCGATACACACACGACCTAGTCGCTTGAATTTGCCCCATATTGACCCTAAAGGTTGTCTCTTTTCCCAGCCGTTATTTCTCGACTTGGCTGCGAGCTTCCCGAAAATTAGACCCCATGGCGGAATCCCTTTCCATCCCCGATTCTCAAGGGGCTGCCGCTAATGACCCCCCACAAGCCACCTCATCTTTGGCTTCGGCTCCACAAAACGCATCCCAGAGCGCAGCGCCCATCGTAGGGCATCATGATGGTGAATCTTCAGACTCAGTACGCTGCTTAACACTGATCGCCGACCTTCGCTTTCTCCAATTGTCGGCTGACTTAGACTCACCAGGACGAGGCAGAGCCTGAAGAAGAGTTCTCGGACTATGCAGAAGATTTGTAAGTTTATCGATCGCCCTCACCATTGACCCCTCATGCTCACAGTGCTTAGCGCGAGCGATACAACATCGCTAAACTCTGAGATCACCTCCTACCGATTTGAGAATGGACGACGCTATCACGCCTACAAGGATGGGGCTTATTGGTATGACTCTATCATTTGGTAGCTTCGGTGTGCGCATTATCCTGATCAATTCGCAGGGGGCCTAATGACGAAATGCAAAATGAGCAACTAGATATTGCGTACGCTCCATGAACTTGCCCTCAATGCGCAGGCTAATGCTAGTATTCAGTCATCATATGTTTACATTGCTTCTCGATGGTAAACTACTACTCGCGCCAATCAGCGACAACATACAGGTATGTCAAAAGTAGCACGAATATGGCATTTAACACCTAGGCGAACGCTGAGGTTCTGACTTGTTAGAGAGCGCTGGATGTTGGCACTGGCACTGGGATTTGGGCCATGTGAGTAGAAGCACTTGTAAGATGGGCCAATTTGAGCATATCTGATCATCCCATGAACAGTGATTTCGCAGATGAATATCCTTCAGCACAAGTCATTGGCACCGATTTGTCACCCATACAGCCCGGTTTCGTTCCACCCAATTTACAGTTCGAGATCGACGACGCCTCGGAAGACTGGGTCTATCCAGAGAACCATTTCGATTTGATCCACGTTCGTGCACTGTATGGTGCAATCGCGGACTGGCCCGCATTCTATCGGAATGTTCTTAGGTGTGTGCCTCGACGAAATCTCCTGTTGCACGTTTCAACCCTAATCAATTTTCCAGTCGCTTGCGGCCGGGGGGCTGGTTTGACCAGCTCGAGATGTCCATACAATTTCGATCGGATGATGGCACGGTGACAGACGACCATGTTCTAGCTGTCTGGTCGAAGACCTTCATTGAGGCGGGCGAGAAGTTCGGCAAGACCTTTCGCATTGCCGATCTTGCTAAGGGCTATATGCAGCAGGCTGGATTTCATAACGTGACGGAACACCGCATGAAGTTGCCTGTCGGTCAGTGGAGTCGAGACAAGAAGCTGAAGAAACTAGGCATGTGGAACTTGGTTCATTGTGAGCAGGGAATTGAAGGATGGGCCATGGCACTGCTGACCCGAGTCATGGGAGTAAGTCCACCCTCCATTTGCAGTTCGATGATGAGGCATTTGAGCATGCTTTCTTCTGTGGTGTGTGTCTGAGAGTGTCATACCTCGTATTTGCGTTGCGCACCACCCTTGACAGCAGCCAATCGGACACAGGCTGACAGGATAATCCTTACTGGATTTAGTGGAGCTATGCCGAAGTGCAGGTCTTCTTAGCCCAGATGCGAAAAGGCCTCCGTGATCCGAATACTCATGCATACTTCAACGTGTAAGATACTGTCGTGTTTAACCTTCTGGACTGGATGAGCACGAAGCTAACTTAGGATTGTTTCCATTTGGGTTACAACAGGGTCGGGGTGTATGGACAGAAGCCTACAAGTGCCTATTAGAGTTTGGGGACAAAATGCACTGCGGCACGGCTGACTGGAATAAGAACCGAGGAAATGCAGTGCGCAGGAGACTACTGCAAGCAGGCAGGACTAGCCTGGCAGAGGTGTGCGAATCGGGGCTCGACCTCACCCGTCATGAGAGGTCGGGGCGGCCGGGAATGCTTGGGTTTAATATGGACTTAATTGAGTTAGTGTCCTGCTCAGTATGCGTTGCACGCGCCTTCGATTGGTTGTCGGGAGCTTGGATGGTGGAGGCGACCGGGGGATGACGGCCGCCGGTCTAGCTGGAGAACATCCAATGATTGATTGCAGTTCGACCCCAATTATGATTTGTGGTTCTGCACGGTATCGGACAGTCCCTTGGTTGCACGAAATTGCTCACGATCGTCTGATGGTGATGATGATGATGATGATACCATTTCCCCGAGTAGAGCAGTTTTAGTTAGGTGGCCTTCCTTGTTCTCTCACAGTCTGCCTGGCCGCCTTGTGCATCCCATCCACCGGTCCTCTTTTTCTCTGCAAACCTGCAACCATACACCGCAGGGGCATTGACTTCCTGGGGGTGGTCAGACGACGATCTTCTTTCTGAAGGCCGTACACTCGCAGAATCAAAGTCGAGCTCCACCCGGAAATAGACCCATTGACCAGTCATGGCACGTCTATTGGGGACATTTAGAGATGACGGGACGCGGATTGACCTCCGACCCGCCCGGCCGGTTTTCATTGTACTATTGTCTTTTTATTGTGCTACATGCCTCTTTCACTATTCGCGTCTTTCGTTCCCTTGTCTCTGCTGTTCTTGTCATCGCTCGCCGTGGGTCAGACCCGGCCCCTTGGACCACAGATACTGGTCGCATAGGCCGCTAATTTGGCTCTAAAAGCCAGCCGTTCGCAGTAACGGCCGTTCAGAATTAATCGACAGATAATTCGAGATGGGGCCTTAAGGTTTGTAGAGCCGATGACATCCTCGCCAAGAGCCTAGGTCAACCCTTTTCCGGGACATTCTGCAATTCTGCAGCCGGAAATTGGGACCAGACCACTGGGTCCATTGCTTTTTGCTGGCTGCACTGCAGAAGGCAACTGAAGGGCTAGTATGACCTATTGTCCCTACCTCATGTATGCCGAACGTATGCTGGAAAGAGCCCATTTCTCGATCCGGATGGGCTTTCGAGGCGAGTCAAGATGCTTGGACCTGCCACAGCGAAGTTTGTTACCGAGGCCTGAACAGCGCATGACTAAATGCCATCTTCTTAGTAGTCCGTCTTGCTTGTCTTTCTATCCCAACTGGCGGCTCACCCATTCCCATCCAGGCTAGCCCCCTTGCGGGGTCTGCTCGTTCAAATCCCCATGAGGCAGGACCCTCTGATGATTGCCATCATTATTCAGGCTTGGTAAGACTCGCGTGGCATCGATGGGGTAATAGGGTTTCTGGTCTCCCGATATCCCCCATTTAAAGCAGTGGAAGATCTCTCTGACAGGGATGTTCACCCTTTCTCCCTCCAAAGTCCTACATGAGGCTTGATCCAGGCCATCGGTCCGCTATGGTTTCAATCCATGTATTATTACTCACGGTGTCCGTCCTGTCCACCTTGCTCATCCTACGATGCATCTGGACGATCGTGTACCGGCTGTTCTTCCACCCCCTGGCCCATCTACCGGGCCCACTTCTTGCTCGGGCCACGCACCTGTACGCCTTCTGGTATAACATGCAAGGTGGATCCTTCTATCTTCAGGTTCCAAAGCTGCATGAGCAATATGGTATGTTCATTGTGCCGTGTGATACGATTGATTCCCTCCTGTGCGCAGCAGTCGATTAAGCAGCTTAGGCCCCGTTGTCCGCATCACACCTGACGAGATCCACCTAAGCGACCCTGAAAACTGCGAGAAAATCTACTACATAGGATCACGGTATGGAAAGGACCCTCAGTTCTACGGCGCGTTCGGCACCCACAAGGCGACCTTTACGGCACCAAGCCCAGACGTACATCGAGTCAAGCGATCGGCCTTGAACCCCTTCTTTTCGCGCAAAAAGGTGCTTGAGCTGGAGGATATTGTGCAGGAGAAGGCAGACAAGCTGGTCAGGCGCATGAGGGAGTCTTTCAGCTCGACCGGCTGTATTGACCTGCATCATGCCTTTCGAGCTATCTCTGTGGATGTCATCAGTGACTACGCCTTTGGCAATTGTTACGGATTTCTTGGTAAGAAGAACTTTGGCGCTGAGTTCTTTGACATGATCCGAGGTTTTGGTCCGGCATTTTGGTTTTTTCAGCAATTCCCGGCTATACAGGGGCTTTCACTTAGCACACCGTTCTGGTTGGCCAAGTTGACTAGTGAGCCGTTGACGAGGATGATGTTGCATCGTGAGGTTGGTCGTATGTCTTCCATTTACCTATCAGGGCTGACGTCTCCTAGGGTTCTCGTCGCCAAATATTGAAGGTGAAGGACGCTGTTGATCGGGGCGAGAAAGGAAGCCGAGCAACTATATTTCACCAGTTACTTCACCCGGAGGCTACTGAAGGTCATGTGGTGCCCACGGTGGAGGAGCTGGAAGACGAGGCCTATATCATGCTGGCTGCGGCTGCAGACACAACGGGAAATGCGCTGACCATTGCTGCCTACAACGTCGTGCGGGATGCAGAAATCTATAAACGCTTAACGGAGGAGCTGAAGCAGGCGTTTCCTGATCCGGAAGGGCAAATAGACTTTGTGGCTTTGGAAAGATTGCCCTACTTGGTATGCGCCTGAGATACCCGTTGATATAAACTATAGCTAACGTTGAAAGACCGCTGTTATCAAGGAGGCTCTAAGGTGATATGATTCCTGATGGACCGGGAGAAACAACTGCTCACTCCAATCTAGGCTATCCTGTGGAGTCCCTGGTAGACTACCACGAGTCGTTCCTGACGTCGGTGCTGAGTTCAATGGCTATCATGTTCCTCCTGGGGTATGCCTCGAGCATGACACTATCATTTTCAATCCGCTAACATATGTTTAGACCGTTGTTAGCATGAGCTCGTGGACCATGCATCACAACGAAGATCTATTCCCACAATCGGAAACCTTTGACCCGAGTCGATGGACTGACCCAGTGATTGGCAAGTCTCTTGAGAAGTACTTGTTCTCTTTCGGCAAGGGGTCTAGGCAATGTATTGGAATGCCGTAGGTCACCTCGCATGTGAGATTGAACTGTACTGACATCTGTAGGCTTGCATACTGCGAGCTGTACGTGACTCTCGGTCGACTTTTCCGACAGTTTGACGACTTGAAAACATCTCAGAAGAGCCGGGAGGAGCTGCGATATAACGACTATTTCTCATCCTATCATCCGGCGGAATACAACAAATTCATTTTCGAAAAGGCACGCTGAGATATCATTATATTTTGTGCCTTTCTCACTTCATTCTTCGTTATGTTTTGATGATACCACCGCGCCATGGCTCAACCAGTGTTCATATAATGATATTCAAGCCAGTCACGATCAAATAAATGCACTGCAACCCAAAGCTCCCACAAACCTCAAATTAAATCCATCTCCAAACCCAAGAGTAAAATCTGAGTCCTAACACTGGCGATATTCCAAGTGAATGTAACCATCAAAATCAAATTCCCTTACCCCCACCTCAACCCACAAACTCTCCTGAAGTAGAACACTTCCTCAGCTGTCTCCATCCCCTTGCTCATCTTTTCTTACTTTCCTCTTTCTCGCCTCCTCAACCACAATTCCTCTCTCCATCTTGCTCTATCTCTTTCCCATCTGTTCCTACTCTACCTCAACCACAACCCTCCTCTCTCTATCTACCTTCCCCACACACCACAAAAACATCCCGTTTACCAAAACTCAAACCGCCAAAATGCCCATGACTTGGAATGAAACGAATGACGCTAAAGTACGTCCACCCTCCTCTCTCTCTCTCTCTCTCTCTCACCCAAATCAAACCAAAGACAAACTAACAAATTCTCATCCTCACCCAGCTCCTAGTCGGCATCTTGACCACCACGAACGTGAAATTAGACATGCACGCCTTGGCCAATTTTATGGGTCCCGGTATGTCTTTTCCCCCTCTCTTTCCCAAAACCATCTATCTATACTAATGGATACCTTAAAAGGGTGCACCGTCTCCGCCGTCCAACACCGCATCCAGCGTCTCAAGGACAAAGTTTCTTCTACCTCTACTCCCGGAGGTACCGCTTCGTCCCCTGCGACTGGTACTACCATGACTTCCCCGGGAAACGAGAAACCCACTACTCCCACCCCCGCTACCCCCGAGAAAAGAAAGCGTGGTCGACCCCGCAAGAACCCCGTTGCTGGGGGTGGTGAAGCTAGTACTTCTTCTACTACTAATACTGTCGCGGCTGCTGCTGGTGCTGCTAAGAAGCCGAAGGCTAAGCGGGCTAAGAAGGTTGATGGTACTGCTACTGCTACTGCTGCGGTTGTTAAGAATGAGGAGGTTAGTGATGATGATGAGGAGGAGGTCCTTTCTGAGCTTGGTGTTCCCGAGACTCCTGGGGTTGAGGAGGGTGGGGTTGGTGAGGGTGAGGAGAAGGAGCATGCTTGATGGTGTTGGGGTTCTCGCTTCTCTGTGGCTTACTTGTTTCTAAGATGGCTTGTGGTTGAGATGATTTGATGATTTAGGGGAAGTCTACGTAGCTCGTTTGATGGATGGTGGTTATTTGATTTCCTTTCTAATTGGTGGATGCTTGCTTAGGATGCAAAGGGCGTCGAATTGGGTGATGTTGTACCTTGGGATAAGTGCTATCCGATCTATTGAAATTGAGCTAGGGTTTTCATTTGCAGATTCCACTTGTGTTGGAGTAAGTAAAGTACATGGTATTAAAGCAGAATCATCATAACTTCATAAATCACCGTCCAGTTCATCCACCCGATCTTCAAGTTATCAACACCCTCCATAAACCGACCCTGCAAACCTAAGCATCATACAAGTCGCCATCATCAAACTCCTCAGCACTGTAAACTCCCTCCCCCTTAGCCTCGACCTCAGGCATATACTCGCTAGCCGAGCTCTCCCCCTCTCCATCATCCTCGTCCTTCCACTCCACCATTCCAGGCGCAAGCGCACTGGCCTTACGAACACGCTTCACAGGAGCAACCTCCGCCTCGCTCTCCAAATCAACCACCTCCTTCTTCAACTGGGCAGAGGACCTCGCGCTCATTCCCTTCCCCTTCATGGCCTTGGTAGGGGTCTCCATCCCATGCTCGATTTCAGTATCACTACCTCCTTCCACCTTCATCTTAGCAGGGGTAGGCGTATACTCCCCCACATCTCCATCCTCAACTTCATCATCATCATCATCATCATCGCGCTTCCGCTTCAAAGCCGACCCCTTTCTGGCATTGCTGACGCGCAACTTGTGAGGAGTAGAGACAGAAGCAGGGCTGGAAGCGGCACTAGTAGTAGACTTGGTCATTGGACTCCCGGTCTTGAGCCCCTTTCCAATGGAAAAGTGCCCCTCCATGCCGCTGGACTCGCGAGCGGTGTTTCGCATGCGAACGAGACGCTCGGAGATGGCGCGGGGGGTGGGCATGTCTTGACCGAGGGATTTAGCTGGTTGATGGAGGTTAGTTTGGGTTTGGTTGATTGGATTGGGATGAGTAGTGGAAAAGAAGGTGGGGGGAATAGACTTACGCCATGCTTCGGCCACGCGTTTGGCGTCGACGGAAAGGGAGTGGGTTTCGAGGATTTTGAGGAGGAGCTGGGATTGTAGGTGAGTTGTTTGTTTGTTTATTGGTGGGGAGGATGATGCGATGTGGTGTGAGGGGGGTTAGAGTGGGTAGAGTAAGTAAAGCAGGTAGAGTAGGTAGTGGAAATAGTATAGATGGTGTAGGTTGTGTGTTGGATAGGAAGAGGGGAAAGAGGAGTAGACTTACAAGCTGATCTTTCTCAGGAGTCCACTTCATGGTTGTTTCTTCCTCGTGCTGATAAGGTTTTTTTTTATGTATGTATAGAGTAACTACAATATTTCTTGAAGAGGTAGACTAAAGAAGTTGTAGTAGGAGATTTAATCACGAAAGCGGAGCGAGTATGTAAGAAAGAGAAAAGTTAAGAGGAAAAGAAGAACTTGACAAGAGACCAGAACAGACTACAAGAAATGGAAGGAGTGGAAAGCAGCTCAGGGTATGTGAAAATACATTTTCCCCTGTGTTCACTATTCTATAGTGAATAGCTGTGGTTCACGCAGTGACTAGCGATTCCCAAGCGACGTTGACCGGTTATCTTATTATTCATGTACTACTTGCTGTCTACTACTGTAGAGATGTCTCTGTTTTCTTCAGCACCGATCGTGGTCGGGCTCTCTCCAGTGTATCCTGCGCACGTTACTTCACAGAGTATTCTGTTGATATGCCGAAGTCAGTAATACGGATCCCATGTCAGTTCTTGACAGACGATCCCTGTCATCAGGGTGGATGTTCCTGCATGTGCTTAATCTTATCCACTTGGCTTTTTCCTCTAGCTGCAGCGGAAGTTGCAACAATACTTCCCCGAACTCGGCTGTGGATCTGATGCAGACTTGTTTCAGAGTAAAATCTGTTCTATCTACTGTTCCGAGATGACTGATCTGATCTGGTGCTGTTGTGGGGATTCTGTGCAGCCAGTCGGCCTTTCCTCCCCGCTGGTGGAATCTACACATCAACTCTGTGGGCAGTGGACAGGTACCTGCTCTTCTCTTCCCACAGATGCGGTAAAGCAGTACACAGTCTTCCACAGAAAATGAGAGAGAGGTACTTCCCCTTCTCGTGAGTCTGCGGGGTTTAGCCCTGTCAGCTCAATAAAAGTCATGTCACTAAATCTCAGTGTCTGGGTCGTCCCCAGACCAACATTCTGACCTGTCGCTCGGCCGTCTGTTTGACTGGCGGTCATAGCTGTGGTCTCAAGACTGGCTAGCCATCATGTCTTGACATTCACTGAGCATCTGAAATCTCGATATGTGTGTTACCTTCACACCGTCTCTGGCATCATTCTACTAAGACTGCTTTAACTTCGCACGACAGGATCTAACCTAATCATCTCGCACTTGCTCATCTCTGAACCTTTGCAATTGGCATCCCACGCAAAACATCAAAAGCACAATGGTCAATTGGAAACAACCCGAGTCAGCCGACCGTCTCTGTGCGGCGCTCGTCGTAGCCCATCCGAGTCTAAAGGTACAGCAGTTTCATTCCCCATGGCTGTTTCCCACTAACGTTCCAGCAAGCTCGACTACAATGCCATAGCCACCTACTTCGGACAGGGAGCAACGTACGACGCAATTCAAAACCGCTTCCGGAAAGTCCACTCATTCGCCGACCAACTCCGACAGGAAGCCATAGAACGGGGGATCACTGATCTTCCCGTTGCGAAGGCCCGAAAATCCACTACCGGCAGTATTGCCTCTCCTGCTCCACGAACACCACGTATGGGCCGCAACGGGATCCAGAAGCCTGTCTCCTCTTCCTCATCTCGAAGGAGACCCGCTCCCAGAACACCCGCCAACTTGATAACGCCAACCCGAAGCGGAGCCGGTTCAAGCAAATCAGGACAGTCTATCATGGATGCAATTTCTCTGGAAGATGAGATGCTCGATGATGAGAAGAGCGATACTAAGCCTCCACTCAAAGCGGGGTCCAGGCCTACGCAAATCTCAACAATGGCAGATCCAGCTTCCGACGAAAGCGATGTCGAGATCATTGAAATGCCTCCTTCGCCTCCGGCACTTACAACGGGGAAAACTGAAGACTTCTATGTCTCCACATCAAGCTTCCCTTCTTATCCTAGCTTCAGCGTGGGCAATGGAATTAGCTCAACTGTCAAACGCGAACGTGAGCAAAGTCGCTTGCCGATATCCGAGGATACGCCCGTTAACGGTACGAATACTACTCCTTTAACATCAAGCGTCTTCAGCAACAGAAAGAGTAACAATGATACTACTCTCGGCATATCCAGTATAGGCGGGTTCGCCCATAGTAGTAGCTCAGCCTACGAGATGGACGATCCATGGAGTGAAGTTGCATGAGAACCGAGATCAAAACAATGCTGCTTTATCTCTCATTTCTGGAAGAAGTCGATCTGATTCTCCGTTGCATAATCCGTCTAGCTTTCCTTGGTTTCGGTTCTAGGTTATTTTCGTTACTGGAAAGGCGTTCCCTGTACTCTTCTACCATCTAAATCATATACTACATCTTACTCTCCCTGTAGTTACCACCAGATCTGGCCTATCTTCAGTCATTTCAACGCACGCAAATGATATTGATATTTATTACTCTCGGTCGCTTCTTCACTCAACATAGTATACTATCTTGTTATTTGTTAATATTTCAACTCGTAAATTGGAAGATAAAGCACTGATTTCGTAGTATCATAAATCTGCCGTAGCTATTGAGACTACTACTAGTAAAACTACTGCTACTAATATATAAGGGTAGTGGTGATTGGAGCATGTGGCCCACTACTAAGCACGAAGCATCATGATCGTGCCGGAACAGAACTGGGGTTTTCCCAGAAATTCAGATGATCGGTTATTTTTCGTCGTGATGTGAAGCTCCACAACTAGTATGACTGAATCATACCTAATAAAGAAAGGTGCCTAACCCCCCTGGAGTACATTCGCTGATGGCATGATTGCTTCCATTCAGAGTGCCCTGCCCTGCCCACGGAGAATCAGGGTGGGAATCAATCCATTGTGCTGCTGGTAATGCAGGCTTGTAAGTACAGATTAATGTTCTTAGTAAAACACCTCGCTTTTAATTATAGTTATCATCGCATACTGCAGTGACAAATGACTAACGCTAAGCTCAAATACTAAAGGATCCACAGCCCCACTCACAGCCGAGCCGGCCTCGGCTTCAAGTCTGAGGTAAACACAACATGATTGCTCAAGGCGAGAAGATCCCCCCTCTCATCTAATAGTTGCAAAGCAGCATCATACCGGCCATTGGAGACCTTGTTGGAGTTGGAGCGGACCATGATCCAGTCAGTGGACGGGTCGGGCCGCCTTTTGAACTCGATCGACAGACACAGGGTGGAGATCGCATATTTAGCGTAGAAGTCCGGAATATGGGTTGCTGGTGGCTGCAGGGGCTTATTGCACGCGGCGTATTAGCAACAACTAGAAGAATGTTGGGATGAACCGCAACTTACCAAGTCGGAAAGATACGCCAGATGTAATACGTCAGATAGTTTGGAGCCGTCGCGGAAGGACAGCCAGACTTCGCGGTTGTGGCCGCCGAGGCGGTGGCCCCAGAGTCCCTGTGGAGATCGTGGGGCGACCCAGTTCATCTTCGCGGTCACAGGGGTGGAACTGACGACGGGGTCATCGATAGTAACGCATTCTGTGAGCCGATCAGGGGGTGGTCGAGTGATTACCGGCCGCGTTTCTTGCGTGAGGCCCTTTTCTTTGCTAATATCGCCGTATGTAAAGATACCGAGAGTTGTAGTTGGGTAAGAGTCGGAGTCCTCTCCCGGCTTAGGGGCACGCGCGAGTTCAACTTGTAGAACGGATTGTTTCTTGGACACTCGTAAAAGTGTGCAAGTAATAATCGACGGGCCAGGGTAAACCATGTGTAAAAACTGGACGAACGCATGAACGGGGTCGGGATACCGGCCTACGCCAAGTTCCTGGTCGAGGAACCTTTGACCGGCGGCCAGCATAATCGCAGTAGAAAACCCCCCAAGGACAGAGCTGCTCTGGTCAACTCAGCCCGTCGAGTGATGGAGCAAGGATGCGGCTGTCAAACGGACGTACTGTTGGGTACACCAGTCCCGTGTAATCTTCACGGCATATTGGTTCCGCGTCCCCGGGACGGAGGACAAAGAGGAAACCACATCCAGCAGGTTGGGTCGAACTCGTGATGACATCCTTGTTCGCCTGCACGTATAGTCGCCTAGTAGTATATAAAGAGAGTTTGTTTGGTCGGAGAGTGATAAGGGGGATAGCGGATTTGAGGAGAATTTCAATGCTTGGCTTGCGAGGACAGGCACGAGGGGTGGGAGGTCCTTTTTGACCTGAACGTTGCTCCACGTAAGGGATCAGAAGAGTCTGGATTACCCCACAGGGCGAATGACATGGACGAAGCACTCACGGTAAGTTCACATGTCCCAGATGTACCACCTTAACCGCACGCGGATTTGACAAATCACGGCCCATGGCGGAGAGGCAGCCATGGGTTCGCGCAACGCACTAACGAAGATCATCGGCTGAAGTTCGAACCTCAATAATTAATTTCCCGGGAGCTAAACACTAGTCTATCCATAGCAGGGGGGTTAGCGAAAGAAGGATCAGCCCGCCGGAGCCGAAGCAATCCAGGGCAGCCCAGCATAGCTCATATAGCTCATAGCTCAACACGCGATGAGTGGAATGAATGCATGAGCGCGTCGGCTGAACGGATCCGTCGAGCGGGAACGGGCGGATAACCCTTCCGATGGAGATCAGTGCGGAGAGGCACTAAGTGGTTGGTTAGAGAGTGAGACAAGCCGAGGTTGAAGTGTAGAAGTGTGAAGGCAAAAGAGGGGAAGAGGTAGAAGGGGAGAGCGTGAGTTGGGGGATGGAGATGCCATTTGAAACTCGCCTTATCATTTTATTTTTCATTTTTATTATTTTACTTTTTCTTTCCCCCCAAAATGGACTCGAGAAGCAGATCACGAGGCGATCTCCCGATGCGGTAATATGATACGCGGACCGACCAAAGTACTCCGTCGGCTTAAACCATTTTGGTGCTTCTCCTTTTTTTTTCTTCTTTTTTCCCCATCTTTATTGACTCGGGAGTAAGAAATCATCTTGTGCAATTTCCTGTATAGAAGCATCTAAACCCAGACTACTTCCTCTCGCCTGATATAAGATGAGAATGTGGGCTCAAGGGGGCACAACCCGACCGGCATCATGCGATGGATCAGGGAACCGTTTGTACCCAACTGCCGATCACGTGGGCTGACGCGGACGCGGTGCGGGCGTCGCCTTAATCATTTTGCCTTTCGCTCTTCCTCCTTCCGGTTCCCTATTTCGGTTTTTGCCTCTTTTTTCGCCCGCATCTTCATCTTCATCCTCACTCCCTCTCTCCCTTCTATATCTTCTCCTCTCCCTCTCCGTCTCCCTCTCCCTCTCCTTTTTCTTCCACGAGAGGTCTCTCTGGGCGCTGCTGGCTTCTTCGTTCGTCTCCACGAGGATCCGGCACCCGGCACTCGGCACTCCTAACCCCGCCGCCCATTGAGCCATGAACCACCCTGCTGCCACCGCCATTTTCACTCCCAACCCCATGCGGCCCGATCATGATCAATGGGGTACCACACCGCAGTCTCCGAACAACCCCTCTACCACTGCCTCCAAAGCAGCCGCCGTTGGCATTATCAAGCCCTCAGCCTCGTTGGATAAATCCACCCCGATAGAGTCCCTTCCTTTCGCCGGCCGCGGGAGACAACTCAGCGTCCCCGAGCAGGTTTGCCTGGTCAATTTGTGCGCGGCGTCCATGAACGATGACGATGCTCACAACCATCCGAAATCCTTCTGGATCAAGATCTCCAACAAACTTGAATTGCAAACCGGCCGTCGCTATTCCTGGCAGTCATGCCGCCGCCGTATTCAGACTTACATCTCGAAACGAAAGGCCCACTGGGAGGCGTATGCGAACGGTGATCCGTATCCTGGTGTAGACATTGATACTGAAGTCTGGGACCTACTGACTTCATGGTTGATTAAATATAACACACCTCGGGATGTGACAGCCAAAGCTCCGCTGGGGGCGTCTGTTGCCCTACCCACCAGAGTAGAACCTCAACCCCCTCAGGTCCCCGAGCCCGTCCGGATGGTGCCCGAGCAGGGGTTGGTACAGATCTCGACGAAAATCGAGCGGGTTCTGGTCTGGTTGAAGAATCTCCCGCCGTTGGAGGACATGGAAGCCATGAGAACATGGACGGGGTATGTCGATCCTCTGGCGGACTGGATGTCTCGCTCCAAAGTCCGGCGGGAGCGTCGATTGGTTTTTCAGAAAACCAAAAATGGCGAAGAGCAGCCTGAGTTTGGTGGTGATGGCCTGACGGACCCGGCTCTGGCCTATTTGCCCCAACCTCATCAGCCCTCTCTTGCACTGCACGACCCCTTACAAGGGACCAAAAGACCTCGCGAGCTAGATGATTCCTTCGCTGAGCGTCCTGCCCAGCGTATCCGTGTAGACCCTGGGAGCCATCCTTCCGGCAGTCCTTATGCCGAGGAACACGCCGACAACGCCCACCTGAAAAGGAAGCTTGTCGAGTCTTACTTTGAGAGCACCTTCGGCAAACTGATTGACCGGCTATCTGCTCGATTCCGGGCCCAGGGTGCCAAACAGCAGGACGCCCCTGGGAGCTGCGAGGCCATAATGCGCGATCTGTTCAAAGATGTCGGAGTGGCGGTTGCAAAGGCGTTAGTCCGAATGGACGAACCTGCAGTCCAAGATCAGTTACCGAACTGATCCTAACACATATTCAGCATTTAGCGAGTTTTTCATTGCATATTGATTTTACGCATGATTCTAATGGGTGGTTTTGTGTCATGTTCTGCGTTTGCTCGTTGTTTGTGTGACCTGGAATGTTTATTTTGCCTCATTTGCATCGTTGTTACTCATATCTTCTTTGTTCTCATGAGCAGCTGATTGCCCTAGAGATACCCTTTGCATTTGGAGCCCGGATGTCATGTCTTTACGTCGGTTTATTGTTTGGTTTACATCACTGGAGTGAGCATATTTGCATCTTTGTTATTTATTGCACATATGGCATGCATAGGATGAATAGAATGGACAAAACTTGCTTGATTTCATGTATGGATCTACAACCATTATTAATATGTGTTTCACTAGAACACCCAAAAACGACCTTCGACATCTAGTACTTAATGACGTGCCCTTCATTCCAGCTGACTCGTTCTGTGTATCAGTCTGCAAGGTGTGGTTAGCACCAACCCCGAAAATGTCTTCCCCCCGAAAACCCCGACTGCCACTTCCCCCACAAACCCATGCAGGACTACTACTACTACTGCGTGGTGTAGCTGCAATCATATTCCTTCCTTCAGCTCTTCCTTTATAGCTTCCCTCAATAGGTCCAAACCTCATACCAGTTTCGGTGGTTTGGTCGCCCCATTTTCCCTTACTGTATTCACTGCTATGTTATTTTTCATCGATCGATTGACATCTCTTTATGCAAGTAGATCTATATAGTATCAGAGCATCGTCACTTGTAACAGTATCCCAACAAACAACACATTCAATTACACACTTATTAATCAATATATGCATTTGAGAGGTGGCGTGATGGCAGGCCTTACACGTAGGTATCATATTACCTGTACTGAAGTGGATCAGACTAGAGGAGTGCATTAGTAGGTGGTTTTTGTGGATAAGGTAGGCCCATATAGAATATTAGTACGCAGGCGTGTAGAATCAGGGCATGTGCTGGGATGGAGTGTCTGTTAAGTTGTTTAACTTAGTTCAGTTTGGCTTCTTTTTAGGGGTTATTCATGTTCACTTATATCTATAAACATCAACAATTTCTTTATCTTTGGTCTTTTCTTTCTTCTTTTCTTGTCGTTAGTAATACACCCTTTTCGCCAATGTACTTGACCATGAGAGTGTACTTGGCGTGTTACGCGAGATCCTTCACAGGTAAGGGATATCGAAACATGTTGTCAGATGGAGCACACAGAGATGACACGCCATCGTGCCTCGATCTGACAAATTGGAATAATTGAAGAACTGTGGTATCAGTCCAGGATTTGGACATTGGGTTTATAGTTCAGTGTGGATGGTTTGGCTGAGAGTAGGCACTCCCCAGTACCCGCAATATTTGTCTATACTATCAAGCAAATTTGAGAATAACGTCTAACCTCCTATGGTTTTCCACTCTGAATTCAACGATTAATTCCACCGAGTGTCGAAATGCCTACACAAAAGTGTTCAAAAAGAAGACATACCGAAGACGACTCCTCTCACTGCTCTCTCGGGACGAGTGTGCTGCTCTACAAGACGCCCATCTGGCGTCCCTTCCGAGTGATACTTGCAAGAGGAAGCATCGCTACCGCAGTAAAGGGACTGGTCTGCCTGCGTATGTTGTATGCTCCTGTGGGGATGAGCTCTGGGGCAGGGAAGATGTCCCTGGGTTGAACCAGGCGGCGGTTTTGGGGCATACCTTACTCCGTCATGGTACAGAGGGCGGCTGCGCAGCTTGTATCAAGACTGGTGTCATATTCATGTTCCAAGCCTGGCTTCTGAGTTCCAGCGAAGATCGGGAGCTAATAGTACTTTCGTTGGTTGCGGCTTGTGGGTGTGTTTCAAGGCAGTATTTGCTGTCAACCAGTCAAAAAGCCATTACCCAGGACCTCGCCGTGGAATGCCCGGGGCCATGCCTGCAGCGCACTCTCAGTGGTGCCATGGTATGATGCCTAATAAGGCATTTGATATGCTTGCTGGTGTTGAAGGAGACTTGACAGCTCATTCCGCAAAGGTTTGACGTCACTCCGTGATTCTACAGGGGTGGAGCTTCCGAAAGGGTACGAAGATCTAAGGTCTTATGTCAAGGATATCGCGGCTTTCTATGCCTGCTCAGTTATGACAGGGCCAGACCAGGCCACTGGTCTAGCGGCCCCGATACTGCGCCGGAGCATGATAAACGAGTTACAGTCGCAATTCGATCAAGAAGCTGTTGGCGGAACTTACGATTGTAGCTTCAAGCCTTTTGCGCCTTAGGCCGGGCCTGCTCGCAACAGTGTTTTGCTAAAAGAGGCCCGCAAAGACCGACCAGTCCGACAAACGAAGCTCCCTTCGTTTGAGGCATACCTACGTGAACGGCTGGCCGACGGCTTCTGGTATGCAATGAAAGCAGCAGTCAGCTCTCCAGATGATGACAGGCTCTGTCTCACCCACTCAACCGGAATTCATGAGTATGCCATTGATTCGGCATGTGCATTTAATACTCTGGGCCACGCCCGGGCACTCCAAGAGGATTCACTGTACGGTGCATGCAGTTATGATCGCCAGCCATTTGACCAGCTCCCGGATTCGAGGTCCGATTCTTACGACGATATTATCTTTGCCGCGGGATACTTATCCCTGGAATCATACGTGTGGGGTGCCAATGCGCACCTTGACCTGTTGCGCGGACAAGTCAATCAAACATCTGCTACCCCTCTGCCCGAACACTGGTATGCTCGAGTTTGGCACGATGCACTCTTTGGGCAGTCTACACCTGGGGAGCTATACAAATGGACAGCACGTACAAAAGACCACGGGAGCTTCACTGGGGATCGAGAGTTCACCGAATGTTAGTCTGACTGTAGCTGTCCCGAAAGATACCATAAATATGGTCTAGGAGCAACATTGTTCTGGGCACGAGAAACGTGGTGTGGCGTATCCTGCCCGTCTGCGCCATTTGATGTGTGGATGTTTGGCTCCTTTGTCGACGGTGTACGGGCTATCCTCCGTTGTGGTGAGGGGAAACATAGCCCTGGACTAGAACGAACCGCGTCTGCAGCCTTGCCCGTCCGGAAAGCATGCATTGGCGGGATTGCACAGGTGAGACGTCATATCATACACCTGCTTGTATGGTGTGCCGTCGATCAACGCTCCAAGACCCCAAGGGCTCTGGCCAAGAAGCCAAAGAGTCGCAGAAAATTCTGGGGATTTGTGTGCAAGCCAATCGGTATTGTGACACGAATAGTGGCAGCTCTGAATTTTGCGAAGAAGTCCGTGTTAGTGTCATAGGTGAACAAATTAGGAAAGGCTCGGGCCAACTTTCGGTATATTGAGTGGATTAAGAGGGTAACATACGAGGAACCTCCAAGTTTTCGACTGCTCTACGTAGTGAAGAGTAAAGAGAGGACATTGGAGGGAAGCTGGGGAAGGCATAGACAGTAACCTAGCAAGGATCCTGGCGTCAGACTGAAGCAAACTCACTTGACTTGGTTACTGCACCGAAGCAGTGCTGAGAGAAGTGGACCGGGCCGCTCACTATTAGCGTCTGGCTTCTAAGTCTAAGCTGCATCGTACCACTTCTCAATTGTGGCACCGTGGAGTGCATATCCCCATGGGGAGACATGGAGAACAGCGTCGCAATGTACAGAGTAGCATTGACTATCTGAAAGCGTCGATCATGAGCCAGAGATCATTGAAGCCTGGAAATGTGGAGAGAGAGGAGACGGTGTGCTGCAAGAAAGAAGTTGTGTGGAAGGTGCAGTTGAGAGAGGAAGTCGGGCTGTGGGGAGTCGACGTGGGGACGGCAGCGGCAAGCGATGGGGATGTGGGTGATGGGGGCGGACTGCCAGGCAGAGCAGGTAACTACGGTTTGTGGCACGATTTTACACGGTTATTGTCCGATTGACTAGGCCTGCTATGCACAGTCCTAAGTAGTGAGAATGCTATTGTCTTTAAGGGAAGGTTGGGCCCGATGGTCACGCTCCTTCCTACGTAAAGCCCTCGGTTGTCTATATACGACCTAAGTCAAAAACCAAACCTAACCTCTGTGTAGCCGTATAACCAAAATGTCACCAGGACCTGACGCCAAAAATGCTGGACAGGAAAACACCACGCTGTACATGCGAATTTGATACCACCTAATGGCAGAGAGTAATCCACTGGTCAATAATCTCCTCCATGTCATGCGCAATGCCCCACTGGGAGAACATGCAGCGGAACAGCTTCTGCAACGAGTTCATCTCATACAACAGATTACGCACCGCTCCCATGCCAGGGGGAGAGTCTGTTCGTCCCTCCTCGACAAAACGTCGTGTTTCAGAACCGGTCGACGGGCGAATGGTCTCGCACCCGAGGTTCAGATCAGCGCGCGAAAGCAGAGCGTCCTGCCAGACAATCGTGCGTGGAAGATGAATATTCGCCACACCAGCAAGAGAGAAGACAACGTATATTGTTGTGGCCGAGAACAAAGAGCTTGGCATGTGGATAACATGGGCCCTGCCTCTCGGGAGTTGTTCGACAATATCTTGTATTGCAATAGCGTGCAGCAAAGCACGACGAGCATCTTCAGTATTGACCCATTTGGCCATGTCGAATCCTGGCTTGATGGTTCGGGAGCCTCCGGAAACGTGTTGCGTAATGTCATATCGGGAACAAACATGTCTGCAGAGTACTGTAGAGTTGATCATGGTGTCGAGACATATCGTATGCCAACGCAGAAGAACCTCAAGACGCTCCGGTGCAGAGAGATGAATACTCATGGTTATAGTTTCATGTACTTGAGCCAATGCTCTCCGGACATCAGAACGGCCGGGAACCCCGACGGCAGCAAGATCGCTTTCATCCGAATCCGACACAAGAGACTGTAGGCCTTCTAGGACAACACGTAATGCAAAGGCAGAAAATTGGAAGTCTAGAGGTCGAAAGCTTCCGATGGGAGGAAAGAGGGAGCGGAACACCAACCGGAAGGATGGTTGTTCCACCTTCTGCGTACGCATGATAGCGATCCATTCGTCGACATTGCCGGCATCAAAGGCAGCTTCGCTGCTGGGGAGATGCAGAGGGTTGGCTACATGCCGAGTAGATGCACTGTCACCAGACATCTGCGCGACGAGGCCATCTAATATATGATACGCGAGTAACGCGCGTTGTTGAATCTCTCGAGCTGCCCATGTACGCCATTTGTACTCCTTTTCTGTGCTGGGCGAGTTTGAGAAAGGCACATTCTCCATGGGAAAAGGGTCGGCATCCAGCATCCCACAGTGTCTTGCCCATAGGAAGCCAAGTGGGCGGAAGACCTGACTCGTCGTACGGATAACCCGGTTCTATGAAAGGCAACCATTCAGTATTTGTGGTAAAAGTAACTCTTGCAACTTAAATTCACCTTAGACAAAGCACCGTATATTTGGCCAAGAAGAGCGGTAATGAGGAGCTGTACTCCTTTGCAGACATCGTAAGGGCCTCGATGGGTGATCAACGATTGCCACTAGATGAATGTAAGCACAATAATATTGATGCGGGCGTCTAAGATACTTACGGAGGTCGCTAGAGCAGTATGTGCTAAGCGCCATAAAGCCTCACCCTTAGCTACAGAATCTTTCGGACCCAAGTATAACGACCCCAATGCCATAGCATTGAGAAGAAGAGGATGTGTACACTCGCGGAAAACGAAAGTTGCTCGATGTAGAACTGGGAACGTGGGAATGAACCGCACGAAGAACATATGCAGACATTCATCTAAGAAGACTGATGTTATCGAGGTCGCTTTGATTGCAGCTGTGACACTTGATGACTAGTGATTTGGAAAAAATCAGTTATGGGTAGTAAGACCAAGAGGCCTGGGGAACACCCACCGAACTTGTCACCATCTCGGTGACATCCCGCACGGCCTGGTGGCTTCCACCTGAAGGAATTGTGCCTATTGACGACCCTCTGTCGTCAAACGAATTCGGTGACCCAAAGTTCATCCCATTAACATCTTGTACAACTGGTGGGAAGGGCAAAGCCCCTAATGGCATCTGCCATTGGTCGGTAGCATCGGATGACATGATACTTTGAAAGAGATTCTCTGAGTCAGGCCAAATCAGGGCGAAATCAAGATCGGAAGCTGCATGTTGCAGGCCTGGATGTTGCTCAGCCTGGGACGTCTCCCATGCCTGATTAGATGCAGAGGTAGAGACTATGGGTGGTGCTGGGGCGCGGCTGGCATCCCAGGGCAGAGCATCCAATGTTGTCGTCTGCGGAGGAACATGTACGGAAGATTGCTGTACTTGGGCCTGTTTGGCGTTGGCCGCGCGGGTGTGAAGCTTTTCATGCCGGGTCAGAGCGTCCTGGCGGGCAAAAGGTCGCCGACATTCTTTGCAGATGAAAGGCTTCGATCCCGTATCTTAGGCGCGGCAAGTTAGCCATCATGACTTGCATGGAAGACCTCCCACAATTACTAGGGCGGAATGCAGTGGCGATCATGTCTGCTCAAGCAGGAAGGAAATCAACAATGGCGGTATGCTTACGACAACGTTCATGTCTCTACAAGCCAGCATTAGTGATGTCTCCACATCATAGGATTGGCACTAGACGCAAGTTACCCTCAAATGTTCTGCCTTAGAGAAGCCCTTTTGACAAACGCGGCAAATCAATGTCTTGACCGCCGATGTGGTGGTGGTAGGGGATGATGTGGTTGATTGTGGCATGGCGACTAAAGGAGCCATAAAAATAGATAGATCTAGATCAAGTTGATTCCAACTAATAATGACACACAACCCATCCACGTTACCCAGCGAGCAAGATAGTCGAAGCAAGGGCCAGCCAGCTAGCCAGTCACCACGATAAAGTGGTGATAACGAGGAATAAGCCAAATAAGATACAGGCTGGACAGGCTGGGGGCGAAAGGGGGGGGGAAATCGTGGAGAAGGAGGGAACTAAGCAGGTGGTTTTGTGTCAACAATAGAGAGGAGAAGCCGGCCTGAGTTGTGGGGCAGAAAATGTGGTGGCAACGCTGTTGCCTTGGCTCCTGGCACGTGGACGTTACATAACCGTATCGGTACACGGCGGCCGGGGTTATTTGCCTTGTAGAAGCGCTGAAGCTTGTAAGTTCCTTACGTGTCACACCCCGGCACTTGTTAGCGGCTCTGGAAGACGGACTGGAGTCAAGGGCCAAGGCGTTAAACTCCACTCAACCTCGCTCCTACTCCAGACCCCGTGTCTACGTATTTGGTGTGGGTAATTGGCACCCACCTAATCTTGACTAGCAGTAGCACAACTGTAGTCCCTACTAGACGCGTCCTAAACATCCTTTCCCACAAACTGATCGATCACACCTTGTTTCCCTTCCCCCTTACATCTGCATAGAGCAGACGCAAGTTTGCAGGGCATAGAGCTACTAGTCTTTGATAGTCCACTCTCCCCCAGGCAGACATAAAAATCAATTCCTGGTCACACGGTGATTTCATCATCACATAATGAGATCTGCCCGAGCAGTTACCGTCCGCATATCGCTTGACGCCGGTTGCTTGGCCAATTACTTTGTAATCCGTTTCACTCGGCAAGGTGGCCCCAAGTCTGGTCAGCGGAATAACCGAGATTTGGAGGCAAAACATTGGCCTACCATGTCTCCTCCCCGGAAGGGGTGCATCCACTCCAAAGACTTAACCCGCCGCCGCCATGGCCGAATGGGTCGCTACTAGAACCATTCCGGATTCTGGATCTCCCGAGTCATCCGTAGTCGGGCCCTCGGTTATGCTGCCTCTGGCGGCGATAGACTGTCTGATTTGGTCCGGCCAATGAGCGAATCTTGCGCTATCCTCAATGACAGAACATAGTGACCATTGCTGCTTTCGTGACTGGACTGTGCCGTAGGAATGGAATCCTCCGCATCTTCCCCACGAGTTGCCCCAACAGTACGCGGGACTCGCGGGACTCGTCACTTCCAGGTTTGATCAATCCCCAGGAAGGGTACCACCAGCGCCCCCAGTGATAGGTCAATCCCCCGGTGAGCGTGGAACCCTCCCTCTCTCCCCCCCTCCCCCCCCCGGTTAGGAACATTTTGTGTGAACCGATTAGTTGCATAGGGAGGCACGGCTCTTCCCTCTTAGGCATCACATAGGTTCCCTCCATCTCCTCCTCCTCCTCTCTGTTATTCTTCCGTTCCCTTTCTAGACTCCTGAGACGACCTGCATTTCTTGGATATCTCAAGTGTGTCGTGAGTCTTTAGAAAGAATCGCCACTTTCATTGTCCCACAAGCCCCCAGTTCAGGGTTTTCCTTCTCACAATATGTCTGGGGTCATGGAGATGCACCCGTCTCAGACACCTGCAAAGGAAGATGTCGACTTTGTAGAGAGCACAGAAGCAGGCATCCCATCGACATATGCCGATATCGTGTCTTCTGAACTTTCCAAGGCACACCGTGACTATCTGATGGAACGTCATGGGACATTGGAACTCGATCCTATCCCCAGCATGGATCCTGCGGATCCTTACAATTGGCCGTCGTGGAAGGTATGTGGTGCTGAAGGATCTTCTTGCAGAGGTTGAAAGGTTTCGTGAAGAAGCGGCCATGCTAACGGGTTTTTTCGACGCGTTTTAGAAAATTGCAAATCTTCTCCTAGTAGCTTTTCATGCGTGCATGGGCACTTTTGCGGCAGCAGGCATCATCCCGGCTTACCAAACGTAGGTTCAATTGAAGCCTTCGCATTGCCCTTAAAATACTGACCACAAGACTAGAATTGCAACTGATTTCGGTGTTTCGGTGAACGACGCGAGTTATTTGACCTCCATCCAGATTGCAGTCCTGGGTGTAGCACCAATCTTCTGGAAACCGCTGTCCAACCGCTGGGGACGGCGCCCTATCTTCCTCCTTTCCTTAATCTGCAGTCTCGTCTGTAACGTAGGATGTGCGGAAAGCACTAGTTACGCGTCCACGGCTGTATGTCGGGCTCTGCAGGCTTTCTTCATTTCCCCTGCTTCAGGTAAGACGCAATGCTTCCCCCGTCGTGACAAGGTGTGCTAACGGCTGCGGAAGCGATCGGAAGTGCGGTGGTGATGGAGACGACATTCAAGAAAGACCGAGCTCGGTACATGGGTATATGGACGCTATTGATTACGCTGGGAATCCCCAGCGGGCCCTTCATCTTTGGCTTCGTTACGTATCGGCTGGGCTACCAATGGATTTACTGGATCTTGGCAATTGTAAGTGTTCCCATAACCCGATCGGGTTACTGGTCCAACAATGGAAGAGTCTTCCGCTGACCTAATTTCGACATTCAGATCAACGGTGTCCAGTTCATTTTGTATCTTTTCCTGGGTCCTGAGACCCGGTACATTGGAGGTGACCATGACCCCGAGCAACCTGCTTGGGTACGGGAATATGCTCAGCTCCGACGCATTGACCCTACACCCTTATCGTTCAAGGAGTTCTTCAGACCCCTGGGCATGGTCACGCATCCTTGTATTGCCATTCCCACTGCCGCATACGCCATGGTGTTCTGTCTGGGCAATGTAATGACGACTGTGGAAATCCCCAGTTTGCTGCAGACCAAATTTGATCTGAATGCTGAACAGCTGGGACTCCAATTTCTAGGTCCTATCATCGGATCTCTTTTGGGTGAGCAGCTTGGCGGTGTGTTGTCGGACCGCTGGATGAATTTGCGTGCAAAGAAAATCCACCGCAAGCCGGAACCCGAATACCGCCTGTGGCTCAGTTACATCGGCTTCGCCCTATGCATTGTGGGCTTGATCGTATTCCTTGTCTGCACCCAGGAGTCGACGGAGGGTCACTGGAACGTAAAGCCGGTCGTCGGCATTGCCATCTGCGCTGGTGGCAACCAAATCATAACGACTGTTCTTGTCACGTATGCAGTGGATTGTTACCACAAGGAAGCCGGCAGTGTCGGAGTATACATCACGTTTGTCCGACAAATCTGGGGATTCCTCGGACCGTTCTGGTAAGTATCGGATGCATCCTCTGTGCTGGACACATATGGGCAAATGCTAATCGGTGTCGTTTAGGTTCCCATCCATGTTTGATAGTGTTGGTGTAGCACCGAGTGCTGGCATTTGTGCGGCACTCGTTGCGGGTGTCAGTGTCATTCCGACTATGATCGTACACTGGCAAGGACGGAGCTGGCGTCCGCCCATTGAAGAGTAAACCGATGACACGAATCCCTTTTCATCCTCATTTGCGTTGTTCCTCCTTTCATTCCAACTTTGCATATATCTTTTTCCTCAAAGTCGATTTGGCGTGTTGCTTTCGGAGACGACCTTGGCGAGAATAGACCTTCTAGATGTTAGATATAGATGGCGAGCATGTATATAAACATATCACGATATGAGCGTGCACAGCAGCGAAGCAAACAAAGACACAATATATGAATCCGAAACCTCGATCGAAGTGAACAAGAAACGAATACAACAATAAGAAAAGACAATTAGCAGAAGTATAATCTAGTATAGAAGTATAGAAGAAAAGACCTCAAGCGAAAGGGGAAAAAGAAAAAGGAACCAAAGAACCCAGGGATAAAGAGTTTATCCCTCCCAGGTCCCGCCGTAGTTATATACTCACTCCGAAAAGAGGTAGGGATGGGAATGGAACTAAACCCACATTAAAAAATTTCGACATAAGTTTTTATTAGTAGTAGATAACTAGCTATTCGATGGATCACGGCACTTTTGATTCGAGAGCTGCCAAAGCGACTCCCCCCGAAAAAGTGGCCCGTCCGATACTATGGTTTGATAGTATCGGCAAAGCGAAGGGGGAATGTAAATGAATAGCACCCGTAGTGGTGTGGTTGTTGCTGCTAGTGTCAGACCACGCCTACATTGTGCAGTTACTGGCCCGATCGGCTGGCCCGATGTCCGCCGATGTTAGCTGCTATCGGGAAGGATTCACGGCGTCCGGTTCGCTACTTGCGCCTTTACGGGATGCTTGCACGGGATTTATTGCATTGCCGGGATGTCTTTAATTTTTATTATTCGTTCACTTCGATACAATTTCTTATTGCAAATTATAGACATAGAAATCTATGCATTTACTGATCTACAAGCTGTCAGGAAGAAATCAGCACATGGCCCGATTACTTGGCTTTCTCAAGCTACTACTAGTTACTTGCTGACTGGCCAGCAATGCAAGGTTACTCCCGAAAGTTAACCACAAAACTCCGGTTCGGACTGGTCACGCAGGCGTAGTAGCGGAATTGATTTACTCCGCTAGGATAAGATTTTATCCTTTCCTGCAGGTGTTGGCTGATTTTGTGTATGTGAATCGGCAATTCGTAGTGCAGTTTTGAGAAGCTTACATTTTGAGGACGAGTTTCATTTATCCATCCGTCCATGCAGTGATGATAGTGAAGGGATGGGTAAGGAGTTACACGGGGAAGACTACGTGGATTATTTTACGGATTTTTGTTGTTGCTTCCAGGATGCTTTCTAGGTCTTCAAGGAGTTGGTAGTTTAGTGCCTGAGGTCTTTACTTAGACTTGGTGTTCTGGGATCGGGCTTGACTCTTTCCTCCTTGTCAGCTGCCTTCTTCTCCTTGCTTCTGTCCTGGCTTCCGGCCTGCAGCAGCTAGCTGCAAATGCATGAGTCCTGGGCAAAAGCTTGAAAAGTGGCCGATTGTGGGGACCTTAGTCAGCGTGGGGTGTGGATGTGGGTGGTTTGCCTCCCGCCCACATCTGTTGAGTTTGTTGTCATTTCTCGGAGGATTATGGCGACAATGTGATGACTCCTTGCATCATAGGACTTGTCACCTGGCTTCATTATAGTTACGCATGCAATTATACATTGGAACAATGAACCTGTTCATTGGTATCCGTACAGTATATACATCTCTATGCTATTCTTGTATAGTAGTATGTCTCATCATAATCCGTAAATCCCCCACCCGTCTCATAGTACCATTATCATAGTGTTCATGCCTGGTTCTCAATCTTCGTGATGAGGGTGCCGACGTGAGGCTGCAGCTCGACGGCGAACTCGTCGCCGTGCTTGAAGAATTCCTTGGGGTTCTTGGCGGCGCCAACACCGGGGGGAGTACCGGTAAGGATGATAGTACCGGCAGGCAGGGTGGTGCCCTGGGACAGGAAGCTGACGAGCTGGGCCACGTTGAAGATCAGGTCACTGTTCGAAGTCGCTAGTCAGCTTTTGTTCTTGGTACACAAAATTTGAATGTTAGAAATGGAGGACATACGTCAAGGGGCAATCCTGAAGGACCTTTCCGTTCTTCGATCCACGAATGTGGAACTTGCTGGCATCGGGAACCTGAGCAGCGGAGACGAGGACGGGACCTGTGAGAGTTCATCCATCAGCACGAATTGCAATAACACTTTTGTAAAAAGGGTGAGCTATACCGATCGGGCAAGAAGTGTCAAAGCCCTTGGAGAAGCACCATTGGCTCTGGTTCATCTGGTACGTGCGGCTAGAGATATCGTTGGCCGCGGTATATCCGAGCACGTAGTCGAGGGCCTCGGCCTCGCTGACATCCTTCGCATCACGACCGATCACAATGACCATCTCCGACTCATAGTCACCCGTGTTATCGATCTGGGTGAGCTTGGGCAGAACGGTCGGGGCGGGCCAGGGGTCCGACAGGGCAGTCGAGGGCTTCATGAAGAGAGTGGGAACATCGGGGATAGACAGCTTCATCTCAGCGGCGTGGGAGACATACTGCGCGATCGGTCAGTTTCTTGCGCACCCACTAGACAGCCGTGCTGCGATCAATGTTGAACCTACGTTCAGTCCAATGCATCTGATGGAGCCGACTTCGCTCTGCGCCAGAGGCGAGAGAATGCGCTCAATGGTCTCGGTCGAGTCGGTCTTCTGGCCGGGGCTGAGGACGGAGCTACCGGAGAAAGGGCGCACAGCGACATCCTTGCCCTGGTAGACGGCCAATCCAACATCTACAGCGGCGTCGACGGGCTCACCGATCAGAACCTTAGAAGGGTTCGACTTGGGGACGAAGCGCACGAGGCCTGGATGGCGTTAGCAACACAGCTGCAGAAGCAAGGTCGAGTCCACATACGCGAGAAGGTAGATGCGACCTTGGACATGATGAGCTTTTGTGAAGAAATAGGGGGAATTGATGAACAACAGAAATGCAAAGTCAGGGAGCAGGGATCAATTGAGGCGATGTCTCTTTTGAAGTACGCTCACGGGATATTTCTACCCCGATATCGTCGCGGGGTGCAGTTCTGGTGGCCGGCCGGGAAGCTCAATGCGCGCGGGGTGGGGGGGCAAGCAAAGTGGGAGGGGCAATCCCTCAACTGCCTTTGCCGGTGGGAACCGATCCGTTTCTCAGCAGCCAGTCCGCATTCGACTTTCTTCGCAAGAACCAAACACTTGCTCCCCTCCAGGACTTGACTTCAACGCTTTCGATTTCCGAGCCTCGGGCGAAAGCCGGCGGCGAATACGCTAAACAGCCCACTTCCCCACGACAACGTGGGGATGTCGCCCGCGGCCTGTCGTGCCGGTTGAACTGCGAAATCGCATGCTCTCCGTTTAAAAGCGAACAGTGTCGCAGTCGTCGAGTCTGTTTCAAGTCATTCAGAAAACTACTTTGCACATAACCTGTCACAATGTCTGCTCCCAAGGGACCCTTCAAGCTCGTCACTGTCAACACTGCTCCCGAGAGAGCCAAGCGCCTCATCGGACGGGTTGCTGAGGCCCTTTCGGACCGTTACACCATCATCCACATTGACAACTGCGAGAGTAAGTACCTGTGACCTCGAAGTCCTTTGCGGGATTTAGTGATGGTTGATACTAACTGAGCTTGCGAACAGAGATCGACGAAGTCGAGTCCAAGGTCAAGCAGCACATGCCTGATGTCCTGGTATGTTCTCTTCATCTGAGCTTCCTGTACAATGCGGGGTAAAGCGACTACGGTTATGATGGCTCGTGTCTAACTTCCTCTGCAGTTCAGCGCCTCCATGTGGTCCGCCGAGCAGGCCAACGAGATCCACTCCATTGCCCGGTCGATCAAGCCCGACATCAAGCTGCACGCTATCCCCGAGGGTCTCCAGGTCGAGCGCGGTCCCGACGCTATTGTTGAATACCTTTGCGAGAAGGTCCCTCCTCTTCTGGACGCCTAGATATGAGGTGTCAGTGTACCAGTTTTAGGAATAAGCGGGGGATATCATGGTGGATATGACGACAATATCTATGTCTTGTATATAAATTTACTTCGAAGAAGCTCCCGAAATAGACGATTTACGATTTTCGAGTGTTGAATAGTAAAAAGAGAACCACCCTAGAGCGCGTATTCAGACGTGACAAGTACACATAGTATGGGACAACATGGCTGTCTCACAAACTTCTGCGAACTTCAGCTAAATTGGTGCAATGTGGAAGTAACGGAGTCAAGCTGGCGTGTGCAGTATGGAAGATGGGTTCCTGCCAAATGTCGTTCTGACTGAAGAACCACCATCTCAATTCGCAAACTGTAAGTCCCCGGATATGATTTCCCGGCTGTTTTCGCGTCGTACGATCATTTAGAGGCCTAAGCGTAATTAGGAAGTGCGCTGTTGCAGCGAGACGCTCCGACTAATATCCGAAGTGAGGGGTCCAGCATAGTAATTCCATCATTGTTTGGTGACTGAAGTTGGGCATATCGGTAGTAGAGAGCGATGATGCAATTTATCGATATATATATTGACGCGAGATCAGATAAGATCCAAGTGTACTCATGCCCCTACAATCATTCCACTACCACAATCACTCCATCACCAATGCAATAACAGCAGTACAACGTAGCACAAACCAAAACCATTCCCCAGACAAAAAGCAAACGACAACTTACCTCCGACATATATACCCCTGTCAAGCCAAGACATCCGGATATTGCTGCACGACAATCCCATTAAGCCGACGGGACAACGGCAAAACCACCTCCCCAGCTGCTTAGTCATATCCCCAAGGCAGTTGCTGATCTTCAATGCTTAAATGCACCAAACTCAAGATAAACCCTCAGATCAATCGCAGTTCTCAGATAGCATCGTCATCACCATCATACTCGCCACTCACAATCATGCTCCAACCAATCCGTACTACCTTTCGAAGCGCCGCCCAGGGCGCCCGCTTATTCTCCACATCACGAGGCCTCCGAACAGACCTGTCCTACCAGGTGTTTGGGCCCGAGAAAGCCGATGTTATTGATCGGAGTCCTATCATCTTCCTTCATGGACTGTTCGGCTCGAAACAGAATAACCGGGGTATTAGCAAGTAAGCATTCTCTTTGTCAATCGATTGTCCCCAGAAGACGAACATCCAGTGACAAGGAAAGCTACTAACCACCATGCAGGGCACTGGCACGTGATCTGAAACGTGAGATCTTCACAGTGGTGTGTAACCAGTTATGAAGAAGAAGAAATTTGGAATCAAAGCAGTGATTCATATTTGTGTTTGTTCTTTCAGGATCTCCGCAACCATGGCCAATCTTTCCACGCCCAAGAACACAACTACTCCGTCATGGCCGAAGACGTGATCAAGTTCATCCAGCAGCTGAAGCTAGACAAGGCCGTCCTGATCGGCCACTCGATGTATGTCATGGCCTACTTACTACATATGCCTCCGATACTCCATACACATTCAGAAGAATGCATATGAAGACAAACAAAACAAAACGGCTAAACTAATGGACATTAACAAACAGGGGCGCCAAAACCGCCATGACAGTTGCCCTCGATTCACCCAAGTTAGTCTCGGCTCTTGTACCGGTTGACAACGCCCCCGTGAATGCACCCCTGAAGAGCGATTTTGGCCTCTACGTTCGTGGCATGCAGCATGTCGAGGCTGCCAATGTGACTAAGCAGTCTGAGGCTGATGAGATCCTCAAGGGATATGAGGAGGTAAGTCCGAGAAGTGAACATTTGCAAACTGAACTCAATGTGTGCACATAACAATCAACTAAACTAATGTGACAGTCCCTCCCCATCCGCCAATTCCTCCTCACCAACCTGGTCCGCTCGACAGAAGATCAAACCATGAAATTCCGTGTCCCGCTCGCCGTCCTCGGCGAAGCCATCCCCGGTATGGCTGACTTCCCGTACCGGGAGCCGGGATCTGTCTCGTATGAGGGCCCTACGCTGTTTGTGAGGGGCACGAAGAGCAGATATGTCAGCGATGAGTCGGTGCCGACGATTAAGAAGTTCTTCCCCAATGCTAGCGTTGCGGATGTGGAGGCTGGGCATTGGTTGATTTCGGAGAATCCGGAAGGGTTCAGGCAAGGTGAGTAGTAGTATTTGATTCTAATCTATCTAATTGAGTAGGATGATTTGCTGATGTGTGTGCTTTTTGCTTAATAGCTGTTCTGAAGTTCCTTCAGGAGGCTCCTTGATTGATTGCTACAGTCATGCTTGGTTTGATGGATGGATGTATAAACAGACCAGACAGAACTGACTCAGACTCCACTTGTACATTCTTGCTTATGTGCAGGTCCCTTTTCCCCCTACCTCCGTGACCTTTAAAGAAAAGAAAAGACTATTGAATAGAAGAGAGTAAGAAAGGTCTGGGCTTACGGCGCCCAGGACCACAAAGAGAGTGGAGGAGAAAAATAAGGAAAAAGAATTATTGACAAAGGGGATATCCAGCAGAATTGAAACCAACTTTTCCTTCTTCTTTCTTCAGACTAACGACTGATTCATAACATTCGTAATCTCGTGATGTGTACTGCTTCAGAATGCTCCCTCCAGGGGGGTAACCTTTAGCTTTATACACCTACAACCCCCCTTCAGTCAATCGTTATTACATTGCCTGATGCCTGCGGTCCTTTATTCTTTTGTAGTTTCCGCTTCTTTCCCTTCTTTTTCTTGCTTTTCCTGTCGGTTGATGGCCCGGCGTCTCCTCCTGCAGTAGAGCCTGCAGCATTGGAAGTCGGTGATTCGGGCCGACTTAAGCTGGAAAGATCCTCGTCGGATGCATTATTAGATGTAATAGGCCGTTTCCTCTTCCTCTCTTTTAGGGCACGTGCTGGGGTTGTTTCAGCCATGCTCATGAACCTGGCGACCTCGGAATCCTGATCGTTGGCTTCATCCTCATCTTTCATTGCATTGGGATTGTCTTCTTGCTGAGGGGGCGCTTCTAGTTGTGGGGGTTGCTGGCTGCTCTCGACCAGTTTCATTAGGCCATCCACCCTTTCAGTTAGACCTGTAAGATTCTTCGACGTCGAGCCTTCCAGTAGCTTATGTTCTTCCACAACATTCTGATATTTTTCGAGCGTGGAGGTTTCTAGTTGACAAACACGATCAAGTACTGCTTTGAGCTCATCTGGACAGGCTTTCAACACCTTCAAGTCGTCTTCATTGCTCGATTGGATCTCACAAAGTTTCTTTGCGAGGTCTTCTTGAGCTTCGACAAGAGCTTTAAGCTGATCGTGTTCCTCCTGGGTTCTGACGAGTCTCCCAGCCAATGTTTTCTGTTCGTCAATCAAAGACTTGATCTGCCTCCGTATCTTGTCTTGTTGAGAATCAGAAAATCTATCAAGTAGCTTCTTCTGTTCATCTGCCAGAGCCCTGACCTGATCTTGCAGGCCCTCCTCCTGATATACAGACAGACTTTTTGCCAGGTTTTCCTGCTTATCAGCTAGCTCCTTAACTTGTTCTCTCCAATCGTCATTCTGCGAGTTGCTGAAACCCTTCATTAACTCCTCCTGTTTCACGGCAAGGGCTCGGACTTGACCCGGTAGATCATTGGCCTTCTGGAATTCAGAACATATTTTCTCAAGTTCCGTTTGCCTTTCGGCAATGGCGTGGAGCTGCATGTGCAGGTTGTTTCTGCCCGTTGTTAGGTCGTCGTGGAGCAGTTGATCCTTTGCCTCGCGCGACTCGACGTATCCGTCAAGTTTGTTCGTATGTTCATCAATCTTTGCCGCCAGAGATGTCAGATCATTCTGCATTTGCCGCAGATCATCAGCGGTGAGCCAACGGTTCTGGTTTTGAGCGGTAAGTCGCTCCCAGACCGGGGCGAGCGACTGGGAGAGATTGGTCTGTTGGCTCCTCAGGCGATTGATTTCCTCCATTCTCAAAGCCATGTCTTTCTGCGTCTGTTCCACCAAATTCACCTGATGCACGTGCAGACGTTCTGTTATCGCTTTCAGTGGAGGAATATCCCGCTCAAACCATGCTCTAATGAGGTTTATTTGTTCTGTCAGCTGCGCGGTTGATGGGTACATCTCTTGCATGGCCACCACCATGTGTTTCACAATGGTATCCGTAGATAGATTGTTGTACCGAGTTTCGAGGGAATGTAATGCAACTCTCAGAGTTTCCACCATATTTTGCATGTTCGTAAGTCCGGACGCAATCCCTTGAATATGAGCCTGAACCCCAGCGGGGTTTGCTACTGCTTGAGCTTGGCTCAGGCCTTTCAGCTCCTCGCTGACCCGGGCATAGTCGCTCCTAATCTGTTCGAATTCTTGGGCGCCTCTATCCCACACTTTTTTGAGATCCTCGATTTCCTTGAATTGGAAGTCGTCTTTCATCTGTTGTATTGTTTGCAATCCTTGAAGCTGATCTTCCATTTGTTTGATGCGACGCTCGTGCTGTCCCGAGAGTTGCCCTTCCAGCTTTTGTAATCGGGACGCCAGTTCTTCAGACTTGGCTGAAGGCTCAGGCGCAGTTACTACAGCAGGGGAGGGGAGCCGGTTATTCTTCTCTTCGACCGAAGTTAGGCGTGCTGTAAGCGATGTCAACGATCGTGTGTTCTCCATGCTCCGGGTGTCCTGTTGCCGGCGATGATCGTCCATACTCTTGTCCATCCTTTTCAAATGATCGGAGCATTCACGCTGGGACTCCTGCAAGACTTCGATCTGCCTGGTCAAGTCCGAGGTCTGCTTCCTTAACTCATCCATCTGTGTCTTGGAAGCGGCCGAGTTGATTTCTTGCTCCTTCGATGCCAACGTGGTTTCTAGATCCGCGGTTATTTTGGTGACACGCTCAGCATTCTCTCTGGCAAGTTTCGCGTGATATGAGGTAGCCTTCTCAAGCGAGTTAACCCTATCTTGCAGGCTAATGAATGAGCCGACCTTATCCTGCACCGCCGACATCTTGCCCTCCAGGTTGATGTTGTAGTCATGCAGCCTTATGATATCCTTCTTCGCATGTTGTACCTCACTTTGTAGTTGATTTACCCTGGTTAGGGGCTCCAGTGACATGATCGAGCTAAATTTGGCTTTCAAAGCATTCTCCAGGTCTCTGTAGTCGTTGGCATGCTTCTCGAGGGATTTATCAAGCTGAGCCAGATCAGCGTCCTCTTCCTCCTTGGACTGCTGGAAAAAGGCTGTAGTGGACGGAAAACTAGAGTGGACTTTAGCTTTCCTAAGGAGGGCATCGGTGGCATCTCTCTTCTTCTTAAGCCTCTCCTGTTCGGATTTGCCGTTGGCAGCAATCACGGCGGCTTGGACCAGGTCGGAGATCCCACGTATGAATTGATCGGCAGTAGCATTTTGGGCATCGACGGGCGAGGAGCTTCCGACCGTCTGGGATCCAGGTCTGAAGCGCGTAGGGGAGGCGCTTGAAGTAGCATCCACAGAGGGAGGGCGATTCAGGGGCGGCCTGGCTAAGGGTCTGGCGAGACGGGGGTCACGCGTAGCACCGGCGTCTGTATCCATATCACGACGTCACAAGGGTTCAGTTGGCCTGACAATCAAATCCAATTATTTGACAACATCCCATGTGCCTTGCGCAACGTAGATGAAGGAAGCCAGGAGGGGGAAATTGATTATTAAAGGGGTGGAAGGAGGGGCTTGAGGTAAGACAAGTACACGATAGATAGATAGAAAAGGTAAATGTGATTGATTGAATTCAAGCCCCAAATGGAAAAACGCCTACATTAACGTAATGAATGGGAATGAAGACGGCGCGATGGTAACCGCGACATTGGCGGGACAACGGGGGAATAGAGAAGGTCGACAGGCCGAGTCCAGACACATATCATTCTCCTATTGTTCTATATGTATACTTTGAGCGAAAGGTGAATGCGCAATTGTCAATGAGGGGACAAACGGAGATTTCCTGGCGCAATCAAACCAAACCCCGTTTGCGCTTAAAAAACACGCGCCGGCAGAAAAAACGGTCAATCGCTCTTTTTGCCGGGCGGCCTGCAAGGCGGCTTCCCGGCCAGCAGCTCTTTCGCCTGCTCTTCCACTCCGCGCTCTCTCAGGCTGGCCAGACCTCTCCATTTTTGGCTTCTTTCCTTGAACCTCGTGACTGTTTTCTGACCTGACGATATACTTACGATCTGCAAGTTGTCGCGATGGCTGCTGTAAGTTTCAATCTTGAAGAAATGCGTGGTGTTTGTCACCGCTGACTCTCCGACAGCCTATTTCTACCGTCGCGGAGACCAAGGAGCTCCGGGGTCTCAACCTCATCGCTGCTCATTCACACATTCGAGGACTTGGTGTCGATGCAGACAGTCTACAGCCCAGGGCATCCTCCCAAGGCCTGGTGGGCCAGGAGAAGGCGAGGAAAGCTGCCGCCGTAATCCTGCAAATGGTCAAGGAAGGCAAGATTGCCGGTCGCGCGTTGCTGATTGCTGGCCCTCCCAGCACTGGTAAAACAGCCATCGCCATGGGTATGGCGCAATCCCTCGGATCCGATGTTCCCTTCACAATGCTCGCAGCGTCGGAGATCTTCTCCATGGAGATGTCCAAGACTGAGGCGCTCACACAAGCCTTCCGCAAATCGATTGGCGTTCGTATCAAGGAGGAGAGTGAGATCATCGAGGGTGAAGTGGTTGAGATCCAGATTGACCGCAGTGTTACTGGTGTAAGTGAGGTCTCGGGCGAGCTCTCAATGATTAGTTTCTGACATTAGTGATCTCTTAGGGAAACAAACAAGGAAAGCTCACCATCAAGACGACCGACATGGAAACGATCTACGACATGGGAACAAAGATGATCGACTCAATGACCAAAGAACGAGTGATGGCCGGTGACATTATCTCCATTGACAAATCTTCGGGCAAGATTACCAAGCTGGGACGTTCTTACGCTCGGTCGCGCGACTATGATGCGATGGGAGCTGACACAAAGTTTGTCCAATGCCCCGAGGGTGAACTCCAGGTTCGCAAGGAAATCGTGCATACCGTTAGCCTTCACGAGATTGATGTGATCAACTCGCGGTCACAAGGATTCTTGGCTCTCTTCTCTGGAGATACCGGTGAGATCAGGAGTGAAGTGAGGGATCAGATTAACACCAAGGTGGCGGAGTGGAAGGAAGAAGGAAAAGCCGAGATCATTCCGGGAGTTCTCTTCATTGATGAAGTGCACATGCTTGACATTGAATGCTTCTCTTACATCAACCGCGCTCTGGAGGCGGAACTGGCACCTATCGTCATCATGGCTAGCAACCGGGGCCACGCCCGGATTCGTGGTACGACATACAGCTCTCCGCACGGCCTGCCCCTTGATTTCCTCGACCGCGTGGTGATTGTCAGCACACAGCCCTACTCTGCCGATGAGATTAGGCAGATTCTGGCGATTCGCGCTCAAGAGGAAGAGATCGACCTATCTCCGGACGCTCTGGCGCTGCTCACCAAGATCGGCCAGGAGTCGAATCTACGCTATGCCAGCAATATCATCACCACCTCTCACCTGCTCAGCCAGAAGCGCAAGGCGAAGGAGGTTAGCATTGATGACGTCCAGCGCAGTTACCGGTTGTTCTACGACCCTGCACGGAGTGTTAAGTTCGTCAGCACATACGAACAGCGTTTCATCGGCGATCAAGGTGCCGTCAGCTTCATTGCTCCTACGAACGGTGATGCAATGGAGCTTTCATAGTCCTTTCTGCCATAGAGACTTCAATGACTTTTGGTGCGTGGGAAGCCTCTGCCATGATTAGACGGCACTGAGGCATGGATTGCAAGGCCTACGGAGGACCATTTCCCGTCTTTTATATTGTTCGGTTTTCATTTACCAGATGAATTGCTTGGTGTATGATAATGCTGGCGCTTTTTCAAAACACATCTGCTGTGGGTACTGCGATATTTGGGTCTCAACTTTGAACAAAGAGCCTAGGCTCGAATGATAATGATGCAATTAATGTTTCCCAGCATATGGTATTCGTAAATGCCAGTAGACGTAAGTTTGTACGATGTTTATGCAAATGTTGCTTCTTTCTGCCACTGACCGGTGTCTGTCCTTCGGAATTCGACACCTTCGCCAAAGTAGCCCGCATTCTTCCATGACTCCATCGTCGCACTATCGTATGGACCATGTGTGACGCCGCCATCACGGGCGTCCGCCCACCGAAACTCCCACATCGCAGGAGCTCCTTCACTGGGCCCTGAGTCCCCAGGAGACGGGTCAACCCAGTCCTCCCCCGTTTCACGGCGGTATTGCCTAGTGAGCATCTCGCGTTCAGTGTCGTAGATATCCGCCTGCCCTCTCGTCATGAGAATATCGGCTGCGCCTGTGATAGCATCAATTGCTTGCTTCCTAGCCGTTTCCTTGGGATCCTCTTCGGCCATCTCGGTGTCCTCGTTCGCAGTTTCTTGCTTTTTCCGATTCTTGTTGCGATTCGCCTGCCATTTAGGTTTCTTTGGAGCTCCCTTGCCGATCCTTGCCAGCGCTTCCAGGATCGTCTCGCCTCGGTCGAGGTGTGAGATAATGGTCTTCAGGGCGTCTGATGTCAATACACTATCATCTTGCCTATCCTTTTCCTTTCTCTCCTCCTCTCGCTTCTCTGCAGCCTCTTTGGCGCGACGGATATCCTTCTTTGACACGCCTTCTAACCAGCTGTCATAGACCGCATCCGGGTCTGCTGCTTTCCTGATGTAGTTGCCTTGATCGTCGAACCTGCCCTCCTCTTGTTCAGTGCGCATGTTAAACGCGTCCAGTACGGGCGCATGCTTTTTCTTCGCGCCAGCGCCAAGCTCCTCATCCAACTCCTCATCGAGTTTTGCGCGCTCCTCATCTCCAACCTCGCTTTCGCTCTCGTCTTCTTCATTGTCGACCTCGTCGGCGCCTTTGCTGAAATCCGCATGTACAGTGCCTCCGCCTTTGGATGACGCGACTTGGCCCTCGATCTCGTCGTCTCGTAGGAATCGTACCGTTTTCTTGTTCTTGCGCATGGCCTCATCGGCGTCGACTTCTTCTGCACCAAAGTCCTCCTGCAACTCGGCAAACATATCGTCATCTTCCGCATCGTGCTTCTCTTTGCTTGCTTTCGACTTGGCCTCGATGCGCGCCGAAAATCCTTCATTTTCACTGTCCGAGTCGTAACCGTCAAGGTTGACAGCTTTGCGGCGAACTTGTTGTCCACGGCGTCCTATTTCGTCTGCGTCCAAAACTGCATCATCTTCGAGCGCATCGGGGGCAAGGGCGGAGGGATTTCGTAAATCGAAGCGAGGCTTCTTGGAGGCACCGTTCACGTCGTCATCTTCTTGGTGGTGGGTGCGGGTGAAGTCTTCACCCGCTCGCTTGGGGCGTGGCTGAGAGGCGGACATGGAGTTGCGCAGTAGATATCAGGTGTTTTTTGGATTCTACGGATCCTTCCGGGACATATGCATCGAAGGTCGTAGTAAGTAATGGTTCTGGAGAAGTCAAACGAAGAATTCCAGCAGAGTGGTTGCGCAGAGCAAATGGAGCTGTCTGGGGTCGGGTCGGAAAATCATCGCGGCGGCGTTTGCGTCACTGCGATCTGATCGCTCCGTTCGTTCCTGACCTTCACCCGAACAGCTCTCCCTGCTAGCTTCTTCCCTGCTTTCTCGCCACCGCAGCGGATTGCATCCTATTTGCTACTGAGTACAGCTCGGATTGTAGCGAAAACTGGTGATATCAGTTGATCTTCGTCTGAAGTCCTATAGGATACCACTCCAGCTTGCATCATGGTGAGTTCCCCGCTTAGACGCCGGTATGTACTTGGGTGTGTACATGCTGATACCCGGATGATGATAGTTTCGATCTGGCTATTGGGACGACGATCCCATGAACGGAGTCATGGGTGGCTCCATGTTCCGCCATGGAGCTGCTCGTCGCTTCGATGAATACTATCGCTGCTATCCTGTCGCCATGATGCCCGGTCCGGAGAGAGAGAATGTGAACCACGGCGGCAAGGTCATCATGCCGCCCAGCGCTCTTGACAAGCTTACTCGCCTTCATATTACGTATCCGATGTTGTTCGAGCTTCACAACGGCGCACGAGAAAGGTTGACGCACGCTGGTGTGCTGGAGTTCATTGCGGAAGAGGGGAAGATCTATCTACCTTTCTGGGTAATGTCATCTCATGATAGGTACTCTGCAGGATACTAACTGGTTGATCTTCCGCAGCTTATGCAAACCCTCCTTCTGGAACCCGGTGACCTCGTACAAGTCAAGTCAACCGATCTCCCACCCGGTCAATTCATCAAGCTGCAAGCTCAATCCACCTCGTTCCTCGATATAAGTGACCCGAAGGCCGTGCTGGAGAATGCTTTCCGTAATTTCTCCTGCCTAACAAAGGGAGATGTGTTCACATTTGCATACAATGATCAAGTTTACGAGATGGCAGTCTTGGAAACCAAGCCATCCACCGACACCAATGCCATTTCCGTACTCGAGACAGACTTAGAAGTGGATTTTGCGCCCCCGGTGGGCTATGAAGAGCCTCAACGCCCCAGCGGCACCAGCACTCCTCGTAGTGGAGTGGGCAACAAGCTGCCCTCTGGTGGGCTGCTTCATCCCCATGGAACCATGGCACAGGCGATCAACTACGCTGCTATTGCCCCGGAGTCGACTGATGCCGCGGCTGGTGCCCGGGCGGTCTCGTCAAACTTCCTCACTGGAGGACAACGTCTGAATGCCAAGAAGGGAAGCAAAACATCCACACCAAAACCGTCTACTCCCACCCCAGGGACGACGAACCCGCAGCATCCCCCTCCTGTCAGGAAGACCAATGGCCCGCAGCCTCTGCGAATAGGCCACAACCAGCTATTCTTTGGCTATCCAATCAAGCCAGTGAAGAAGCGTGACGAGAGCGGACAGGTACTCGAGGACAAGCCTCGGTTTCAGGGGGCTGGTCAAACATTACGAGGAAAGAAGAAAGATACAAGTGGCTCGGCAACCCCTACCTAAGATAACACCAGACAAGGTTGGATTAATGAACGCCGATCGGCTATGAGAATATGGATCTCCCTTGCAAGGTATAGGGGAAGCAGCCCCCTGATCATTCAACCAGGACACGACCGCTGGCTTCCCAGGCACGCTATATTTAAGTCATTGGATGGGCTATAGAAGGCAGCGCGAAAGCGTAGGACGGGAATTTAGAGCATAGCGGGGACAGGCGTTAACGAGGCTATTTCGATCACTTGCAATGCCCACACCACTTGATAGGATGTATCTATCTATCTATCTATCTATCACTAAGCCATGAACTGACCGTTTCTTGGCGACGGGAGACGGACCTGCAAAGTACCACTAAAGTGACTAAAACGGCACTAGAAGTAGAACAATTAACCGCGAGGCTCGACAGCTTTTTCCCCGGCCGAAGATCGGCAGATTCCCCGGAAATCATCCAGGAACCGAACCAGACAGATGTGAAGTTATGAGCAGATCTATTCCATTCCCTTGTGTTACGCCCATAATCTACTAAGTCGAATACCTCACTTCACCTCACCCCCAAACCACTTCATACCCTTCCTTCCACTCATCAGATTCAATCAACCACCATGTCATCCCAACCCACCATAGACATGACCACCCTCCCCAAACCCATAACCCTCTCACCAACAGTCCACGCCTACGACCCTCTTACACCCCAAACCACCAGCACCAGCACCAGCACCAGCAATGCACCACAAACAATCATCCTCGCCTTCTGGATGAACGCCCCCCAACGGGCCCTCACAAAATACACCACCCAATACCGCACCCTGTACCCTCGCGCCCGCATCCTGACTCTCCAAAGCAGCACGGGCGACTTTATGCGCCTCCCTTCACTACTATCCACCTTCACCAGAACTTCAAACGACAAAAACAACAACACGAATCCTACTCAACCAGCCCTGGACTACCTCCTCCTCCACCACCCACCCACCAGCACCCCTAGAGAGAGCGAGAGTGAGAGAATCCACATCCACCTCTTCTCCAACGGCGGCGTTTACACAACCACGACTCTCCTCTCCTCCTACAAATCCACAACAGGACATACCCTCCCCATCACATCGCTGCTTATTGACAGCGCGCCTGGGAAACCATCACTGGTTGGAGCGTTTCGCGCATTCTCGTTCGGTCTTCCCAAGAATGTTATCCTGAAGTGGGTGGGGAGGTTGTTGCTGGGGTGTATGTTGCTGGTGATGTTTGGGATGGGGTGGGTGGTTGGGAGTGAGGATGGGGTGAGTAAGGGGAGACGATTGCTAAATGATAAGAGTGTTGTGGGGGAGAGTGTGAGACGGTGTTATGTTTATTCGGAGGGGGATGGGTTGGTGGAGTGGAGGGATGTGGAGGAGCATGCGCGGGAGGCGGAGAGGGTTTTTGGGGATGATGGTGGTGTTGTGGTTAGGAGGGAGAAGTGGGGGAGGGATAGTGGGCATGTTGAGCATATGCGGATGGATGGGGGGAGGTATTGGAGGGTTGTTGGGGAGATCATAGAAGGTATTTAGACGGGCGTTTGTAAGGTTACTTACGATGGATGGAGAGGATGTTTACTGCATATCTGCAATAAGATTTAGAATAAGTCGACCGACGATCGCCGAGCGCTATGCATGCAACAAGAAGCAAAGAAAAGACACATCCAGAACCGGCTTTTATGTACACTCCGATGAACCAAATGAAACGCCCAACTTTTTCTTCTTCTTTCCGCTCATCAATTGTTGTATTTGTTGTGGTGTTTGTTCATTTCCTCTTGATCCATATGTCCCGTCCTTAATACTAGGAGGGCAGCTTACCGCCCCTTCATCTCAGGAAACTCATCATCAAGCTTCAATCGCGCCGTAACATTCATACTCATCAACTCCTGAATCAGCAGCTTCGCCGCATACGGAATAGCCATCTTCACAACGCTCCGGGACGACTTGCACCGCTGACACCAGTTCAGGTAACCCATGAAACCGCACTGCTCGCAGACATCGATCTCATGACGATCAGACGAGATCATCAGTCGCTCCAGCAGAAGCTGACTAGTACCATACGCAATCAAACAATCACGTTCCATCTCTCCCAGACGCAGACCACCATCACGGGAACGACCTTCCGTAGGCTGACGGGTGAGGATAGCGCGAGGACCACGAGCACGCGAGTGCATCTTATCCTGGACCATGTGCTTCAGTTTCTGGTAGTAGATGGGACCTGTGAAGACGTAGAATGGCAGGGCCTCGCCCGTGATACCCGAGGTGAGGTAGTCCTTGCCACCGTAGCTGAAGCCGTTGTCGATAAGGATCTGGGACATTTCCTGGACGGGACTGCCGCCGAAGCAAGTACCGTAGCCGTGCTGACCAGCCAGGACACCGGCTTTTCCGGCGACGAGTTCCAGCATCTTTCCGACTGTCATTCGAGAGGGGAAACCGTGAGGGTTCATGATAATGTCAGGGTTGATGCCGGTGTCGGTGAAGGGCATGTCGGCTTGGTCGGCGATGATACCCACCACACCCTTCTGTCCGTGACGCGAGGAGAACTTGTCGCCGACTTCCGGGCGACGGGTCTGGCGGGTTAGGACCTTGACGAGTTGGTTCTCGTTCTCGGTGACCGAGACCATCACTTTGTCAATGTAGGCGGGATCTGGAAGCTTGTAGGTCATGGGCGTGGGCATGTAGGAGACGGGCCGGCCGGCGTCGGAGTTGGGGAAGCCTGAGGACATAGACTGGTCGGGCGTGGACTTGTTGATGTAGACTTCGCCGGCGTTGACTTGTTCACCGACTGCGGCAAGACCGTCACTCTCGAGGAGCGCGTGCTTGCGGATCGGTGCGTCGTTTTCGTAGGTTGGTCCGCTCAATCGGTCCTTCGTGCCGTTGGAGTAACTCTTCAGGTTGGTGACGTATTTCCGGAACACCTGGCAGCGTCCGAAACCGCGGTCGACTGATCCCTTGTTCAGGACCAAGGCATCCTCAATATCGTAACCAGAGTAACTCATGACAGCGACAATGGCGTTCTGTCCGGCAGGAAGCTGGTCGTATTTGGTCAGCTCGATGGTACGAGACTTGACCATGGGCTTTTGTGGGTAGACCATAAGGTATAGGATCGAATCGATACGTAGGAATTGGTTGGAGGCGATCGCGCCGATAGCTTGTTTACCCATAGCACATTGGTAGGTGTTACGGGGGGACTGGTTGTGGTGAGGGTAGGGAATAAGACCGGCGACTGCACCGAGGACTGTGAAGGGTTCAATCTCCAGATGGGTGGTGGTTTCTGTGATGTCTTTCTCGTAGATGGAGATCAAGGAGTCGTTCTCTTCGTTGACATCAAGATACTCAACCAGACCTTGAGCAAGGAAGTCATCGAATTGCATTGTACCATTACGCAGCTTCTCGAGGTGCTGGGCATTGACACGAGACTTGCCGTTTTCGACGACGATAAGAGGTCTACAGATTCGCCCATCGTCGGTCGCGACATGGACGGCCCTCTGGTGGTGGTTGATGTAGATACTGACGAATTCAGAAATACGTCCCATCCGACGCAGTCTGCGGAATGCATCAAGGAAGTATTTCGGACGACGTGTGAGTGCAGTGGGTGTTCCGTTGATTGAGATCGTGTAGCAGCCAGGCCCGTAGAGCTCCTTACCACCCACAGTCTGAATGTCTTCGGCGCCGAGCATGAAAATCAAGTTCCTAATCGGGCCCTCTTCGTCGTTGGTTGTGATATGGGTCATGAGTGCCAAGTTCTTGACGAGACCACAGGCCTCACCTTCGGGGGTATCGGCCGGACAGAGCATACCAAATTGCGACGGCTGCAATGCACGAGGACCAGAGACCTTTCTCGTCTTTTCGAACTGACTGCTAATACGCGTCATCATACCCAGAGCCGCAATATAACTCAGTCGACTGAGCACGTGGGTCACACCAGCACGTTCCATGCGGAAACGCTTCAAACTCCAGTTACCCGTCGAGATAGCACGATTCATACCCTGGGTGATATGGTTGCTATGCATGGTAATAACACTGTAAGCATCGAAGGCCTCGGCACGGTTGCGCTTGTTCAGAACTTTGTCGATGTTCATCTTGATGTCGAAGCAGAATTTCTTGAACAAATCTTCAAAGAGCAAAGCCAGCAGTTGACCAGCCAATTCCAGACGCTTGTTTCCGAGATAATCACGGTCATCAACCAAGCTGGCATCGTTCTTGGCCATAAGCACACGACGCGCCATGTGCGCAACATAGACGGCCTTTGGCCGGAAGTTCATGTTCTTCACTTCGATGTGGGAGATGATGACAGAGGCAATGGCCTCGACGGCTTCCTGAACATGGGTACGGCGGTAAGAAGGCGACTGCTTGCGGTTGATCTTAATCCGAGCACCAATCCAATCCAGAGCCTGTTGTTGCGTGTAAATACCCAACTTGATCGCCTCCTCGAAGTTGATGGCAAAGTCTTCCTGGTAAACCTTGTCGACACCCGCGACCAGCAGCAGCATCTCCTTGTCTGTGTGAATACCCATCGCCTTCAAAAGAATGACGATGGGAATATCCTCGCTAAGCACGTTGTGCTTCACGTAGAGCTTGTCCTTCTTGAGAACGATGTAACTCTTCGACTTTCTCTCGTTGGAAGAACTGTAACCATATTAACATCAAAACTCTCGACGATCAATCAAGAAGATCTCTCACCTTGTAACCGACGCCTGGACAATCTCCTTCTTTGGGTCGGTTTCAACAATAATTCTGTTCTTGCTCAACTGTTCCTGGACGAGAATGACCTTCTCCGTTCCGTTCACGATGAAGTAACCACCAGGATCCAAAGGACACTCGTTCAGTACCGTCATCTCCGCCGGCGTCTTGTTTGCCAACACACACTTGGAACTCCGAAGCATAACCGGCATTCTACCAATGGCGACACCCTTCCTCATGACCCTTTGACGGCCACGGACATACTCGAAATCGACCTGAATGGGAGCCGCGTACGTCGTATCACGCAGGCGACACTCTTGCGGGGACACGGTCGAATAGGTGAAGTCGGCCCGCGCATCCTGCGGTTCGTCGGCACGGCGCGGGAAACCCAGATAGATATTGGTGAACTTGATGTAGAAGGTATGGTCGACATCGCTTCGAATTGTGGAGCTGGACTCGACAATCTTCTTCAATTGAACCTCAACAAGGTAGTTGTATGAGTCAATATGCTGCTTCACCAATCCCTTGACTTTGAGGAAAGCCGGCAGAAGGTTCCATTTGTCTTTCGCAGTGTTGATCGGATCCGTGAGGGACTTGTTGTAGTAGAAAGGCTCCAGAAGCGCATCAAATGGATCGCGATGACGGTATGTAGAATGCGAATGCTCGTGCTCCTCGGTCGACTTCTGCTGTTCCTCCGCACTGGGTGGTGGCGGCTGTTCGGCTCGGGGAGGTTGTGCGGTCTGGGAAGGGCGTCTGCGTTTCGTAGTCTCCGCGACACCTGGCCTTGAAGATGCTGCGCCCTGTATTATCAAGAGCCGTTAGCCTGGGACCCTTCTCTACCGGAAATCGTTATACACTTGATACTTGCCTCTGAAGGTTGCGCAGATCGCAGGTTCGCCGCAGAGATCGGCGCTCTTCTGCGGGGCGGCATCGTTGTTCAAACGGTGATGGTCTCCCCCAAGAGGAACTGAATACTGCCGTATGTCAAGTGTCAAGGTGTAGGGGATTATCACGGCATTCTGGGGTGACGGGCACAATTTCTTCTTTATCAGCGAGGGGAAATATCCGGGCTAAATTCCAATTCGGCAGAATAATTGCTTAGGTAATGAGCAGCTATCCTGGAACGGTTAGCCTACTGTTTAGCTTACAAATTCACAGGCAAACTGGATTTAGTAGGGTATGTATTTCTTATCGGCTATGGCAGGCTGCACGGTTACGTTTCTGGCATGTGCAGCTAATTAGTGCATGTGCATGACATACATATAATGTTTCTTCCCAATTCTGGTCAATTATCGCTGGGCTGTCTGGGTAATAGGTCTGAAGGCCTTCAACAGTGTTTTGGACAGCGAGATAGATATGAAAGCCTCCTCAATCTCGTCCAAGGATCGTCCTTTTGTTTCGGGCATGAAGAGGGCGCAGATGAATGCCGTAATCAGGGTGCATCCTCCGAAAAGAAAGTATGCACCAAAGCTGCTCTTTGACAGTAGAATGTGTGTCGTCAGTGCGACCAGAAAGTTGGCGGCCCGGTTGCTGCCATGTGCCAGGCTAGTGGCCGATGCGCGAGTCCTTTGTGGTTGTATCTCTGCTGCATAGATCTTGGTGCCAACTGCCCAGCTGAGAAAATATATGACTGCAAAAATATAGATGCAGACAATGACCACTCACCGACCTGCACCAGTTGAGTTGTATACGGCATCCTTGCGTAGAGGCCTCCTATCAAGAACATTGTGACGGCGAGGCCGGTGCCACCGTAGATAGTGCTGCGTCGTCGGCCCCACCTGTCCGCCCATATGAGCGCCGGAATGGTTACGGCGAAGATAATTGTTGCAGAATTACCAGAGGCAAAGAAACTAGCATCTGAAGAAGCTAGTCCTACTTGCTCTAAAAGCAATGGGGCATGCTTAAAGCAAATGTCAGCAGGAGATGACAATAGGTTTAGCCGGAAAACCCACATAGTGTACACCATCTAATCCGCTGAGTTGCTGCATGCACATGAGAAACATCGCCAAAACAGTACGTGTCCGTACATCTCTGGAAAACAGATCAAAAAACTTGTGCTCTACTTATCTGTCTTGACGTTGGGATGCGGACGGAGCATGTCTGTCGCTGGAAGCACTCGCAACAACCTCAGTAGTGAACACCCTGAGTCTGCTCAGTCTCACCCTTTTCACGTTCAGCCTGGCTGATACCAAGGTGGTCCCAAACTGCAGTAGCCTCCGCTCTCCGGCCGTGGAGGGTCAACCATTTCGGTGAGGGATTTAACCACAGGAGTGAAGCTACAGAGAAGGTAGTAGCCAGACAAGCCAAGATAATGAAAGGCGTGCGCCATGAACAGGAAGACTTCATACAAGAAGTACCGTAGCATGTAAAGAACCCTATGGTCAACCCCAGAGTAACCAGCAATTGGGGCCCGGTCGTCAATGCTCCTCTAACCCTCGGCAGAGAAATTTCGCAAATGTAGCTGTCGATCAATCAGAAAACAAGAAACCAAAGTACCACAGTTCATAGGATAGTCACATACACGACCAGGGCTCCAAGATATAATCCCTCACCTATACCCTCAATGCAACGTCCCACAACAAACATCCCGATATGCACAGCAGCCGCCTCCAAAGTTGCTCCAATCGCAAAGATCAGGGCACCAATGCTGATGCCCTTTGGCCTTCCCGGTTTGTCCGCTAGATGCCCCGCCTAGAAGGAAGAAACTGCGGCTGGAAACAGGATGGAAGAGACGATCAAGCCATGAACTGTTGATGATTGGCTGCCGAATTGTGAAACGAAGCTGTTCATAACCGTGACAGGCCCAATGATGCCAGTCATCATTCTATGAAACTTCTGTCAATGTTGTAAAAAATGGCTCGCCTAAAGAGAATAGATCCTTACTTAAACAGCAGCCCCCGCATGAGCACAGTATACTGGCCAGAACGTAACTAGGGGGGTTTGTGTAATTGTATCATTAGGGCCTCGTGATAGGCGTTGGTTGCTTCTATGAGGTCAATTGACAAATAGCACACAATGCCGTGCAAGAGACGCAAGGTGAGAAGGGAGTGTCAAAGATTGGAAACATGAAGAAAGCCACTAAGACGAACTACAAATAACCACTCGAGTCATAAGCTGTTTGGTTTAACTTATAATAAAAGTGAGAGTGAGACCATTTCACAGGCCAGACCCCACGCCGCCCCACCATCGACCCCAGTCTGGACCCCGGATTCGTTCGGCCATCCCATTTCCTGCGTTATTATTACTTTCAATGCTCATTGTCATGATGGGAATTGAGATAATTACTAGGAGGTGATAGCCAATGCTTAGCTTTATTAAAGTAACTTGGGATGGTTATCCGTAGCACCTCACAAGGCTGTTTCTAGAGCTCCAAAAACTAAAATCCACCTTTCGTATTTATGATACTCCACATAAGCGACTTCCCGGGACTGTGTTCCGTCGAGAATTACAGCCGTAGGAAATGTCATGTTAGATGCATATGTCCCTCGCATCTGCTATGGGCCGACTTTCTGGGTAGATGCAGAATATTAGGAATGTTAAATGATACAACTTCGCGGAGGGAATTGGGAGGGTACGTGCAAACGCCATTCCGGGGTGACGAAATGTGGCATTGAAGTGATAGATCATATGCCCCTCGAACCATGATCTTTCATTGAAAAGTCTTTCCTATATCTCAACTACGTCATCTTTCGACAAAAAGGATCAGGGACAGGAACCTCAATTCACAAGTGATATCACAATTTGATGTAGCAGATATTATTGATTTGTCTATAGATATGCTGAAGCTGGTCAATTTCATACATGCTAGATAGTAGAAAATGCATATATGATACCACTGCTGAGGTTTCGAGATGAAGAAGAATAACGGAAGACTTAGGCGGCTTAATGCAGAGGCATACTACTAACTACTGACAATCCTGAGTGTGTGTGAAGCGGTCAGCATTGGGAGTCTGCTCAAAAAGTTGTACTACCTACACCTCCGAGTGAAACGGCTCTCTGATATCGCTGGTATGTTTCAAACGACTTTCTCGCAGGGCAGCCTGAAGGCTAGCGGTATCGAAAAAGATGGTATCAGGCTTTCATGAGGTCCAAGGTTTCGAGTGAATTGAGGAATTCTCCGTTCAGGTCACGAGAGGACTTTCTCAAGAAGGAAAACCATTCTTTTTTTGCAGATAGCCCGTGAATTTCAGAGGCTTGAGCACCGCGACTGCAGATTTCGTAGATTGAGCTGACTCCCAGTCGAAGCGGCTGTCATTTGCGGGGTTTAAGGCGAATGCCTGAGGCAGTTCTAATCTTGCCTGGCAATATGCTGCCTTTTCGAATTATTATCAAGCCTGCATGATGTACTATGTCGAGGCTCTTGGATAATGTGTAGCCAGTCAGCAGATCGAGTGATTTGTTTATTGCCCATGCTTTTTCCGTTTGTAACCGGTGGCACTCACATAGAACGCGCGCGCGGAATATGATGATATCTGGTCAAGCTGCCAATCAAATAAAATGTCCTTGCCGGATAGGCTGCCTTGATAGCCAAGGTGCCCTACTACCATCCTACATGGTGCCTATTTACATGGTTACCCCGTCTTGTTAATGAGCGAACTCATGGCAAACGAAAGGATGATATGTACTAGCAAGTCTGAATATCTTCCCGCACTTACATTATTCGGTCACCCATGATTCAGTCATCATTTTCGATGAGCTACATCTTTTGATGGCCACGGTGGGCTCTCAGACCCTGTGCCAAATAAGCCATCATTTGGGCAGGCGTTCGTCGAAATTACCGAAAGTGGTCGATTACTTTTTTCTTTTGCCTCCCTGTAACTGCAATATAGAAAAACATGTTAGTATGCCCGAAGGTATCATGCGGCTAATCATTCGGGTTCCATGTTTCCCGATGCCTTATTGTAAACGATGGAGACGCCTGAGTTTATAGTATGATTAGATTGATGCAGGCTCATCTGCCAAATGAGGACCCAAAGGGTTAGAGACAGATACGGCTGCGTCAGAGAAACCATTGCTCACCGGAAGTCTCAGCAGCTGCTGTATTTTATCTGGTGTGTTCAAGGGCAGTAATTTCCACCATTGTTCCTTCATGGGGACGCAGCGGGATTTTGAAAGTTGATTGTGCAATAGTCCCCGCATTTCCTTAGTAAGGATGTCACGACTTTGGGCTGTGCCATTTAAAATTTGGCTGCAATGTCATAACGTGTATGCTGGTCAGGCTGTTTGATGGTATTGTCAGGCTATGGTACGGATGGCTTCATCAACCATAGATGCATCATCCACCCATCATATGGCAGAAGAGACATTGAGGTAATTCTAAAAATACCCCAGATTCTCAGAACACAATCAATACGGAACGATGCAAAATGATTTTTTTTGGTGAAGAGCGCGGTTAACGTCAAGTCGGGCAGTCTATCTAAAGCGTCTTGTTAGTAGTCATCGTTCTCATTCTAGTAATACAAAGCCGCATAGCCTGTGATTTACAGCCCATTCGATATAGATTATCCGCGCAGCTTGTGCAGCCACCTTGTTGCATTCACTTGAGGCAACTCAAGCACGAAGTAGGTTATACCGGTCATCCGAGCGTCATTGATGCCTGAAATATGAATAGCCTGCCAGATACACCTGCAAATCTAGGTGATATATGCGTGAATGCCAAATCCATATTTGACGATTGGTATCTCCTACCCGTTGGTACACTTTAAAAAGAAGGGTGACAAGGTCTGGTTAGCTTATCAGGCATGACCCCGAGTAGTAGCTGTATCAGCTGCATCTAGCCAGGATACTGTCTCCACAGATAGTCGAAGATGCCGGTACACGGAGAATTCTGGCAGACCAACACGTCTGTGCTCTTGTACAACTCAAGTCTGTGTCTGCAGATAATCGCCATGCTCCAACTGTGGGAGCACGTCAGGTGAATACGTGACCTCCGTGGACTGGTCTTGACAGAACACCATCGAAAATGTCGCGGGAAATCCGAAATTACCGCAAGGAATACCAATTATGCGGTGCATTGGGATAATACTCATTTAGTTCTAGCTTCTTCTGTCGTATGGTAACAAACTACCAGCTATGCCATATGGCTGCAGTAGCTAAAGACCATACTGTCAAATTGGTTGATAGTCAGGTGCCAGCAAATGACGCCCCAATCAACGACCATACATTTGGGAAATTGCATCCGCAGCTACTGTTAGAGGTGCTGCTATAATGTGAGGACCATTTTGAGTACTTCACAACGACCACAAAGATGAAACGGATGAACACTAGAGGGCCGAAATTCTGGCAGCATTCATTAGGAGCCATTGTCTTCTTTTCGAAAGCAGGGCTGCAATTTTGGCTGCACTGTCGGCTAACCTCCGTAGTTTGCGGGGTTGGGCAACAACATGTCCAGTCTTCAGGGAATAATTAATTATGTCTTTGCCCATTTCGGAGCTGGAGGTATCCGGTACCAAATTGGTTGGAGTAGGTGTATGGAGTACAGCTGTTACTGGCTTCATGGATGCAGACTGCATATTCCAGGCAATTGGAATGGCCCATGAGATTGAAAGGTGGGTAGAAGTTGGCGACAGATCAATTCAGTCATCTGCGGAGCATGTGGGGAGATGATACTTGAGAAGGCACTACTGTGTACAAAGTATGTTTGAGGCGGTGGGCTTTCTCTTGACCGCAATTTTAGAAGCCATTGCCACTTGGCAGTCGAACCACTCCATCGGAAAGGTTTCCATTCGACGAATTTCAGGCACGGCGATTAGTGGGCAACCACATACAAAGTAGCCAAAGCACAATGCGGAGCGGCGAAATGCCCCTCCAAAGGATGGATCCACCATCAGGAGTAAAAGTACCATGTCGGACCATTCGCAACATCACGTGAGATCGACAGTCTTATCAATTCATGGCGTAGACATGCCCAGTGACGTCCATGGTGAGTGGTATTGGGGACTAACAATATGGAGAGTCACGCGCAAGCCAGTTCCAGAAGACATGGACCATGAGCGCAGTTGCTCTTAGCAAGAAGCGCCGGCTCGCTGTTTCATGGCCCTCGGACCTATTCCTGCAGCCATCGGACATGGGGGCCATTAGCAGGTATTATCCTGTAGGTACAGTACTTTGTGCAGTGTACTGGATGAAATAATGAGGCGATTTCACCTTTGGTGGGGGGTAAAATTACCGTTCTCTCACAATCGGTAAACGGAAATGGATGATTGATTATCTTGTATTTCCTTGAGGATCGTGACATGCAGACTAGCAATTGTTATCTCTTGATCACAAGGTTAACCGCAGTCTTGGATTACTGGCAAAATAAATAAAAAAAAGGTATGCTTAATCCGATTTGTATACAATATTCCTGCCTTTTTAATTCTTCCCACTTTGTCTCTCAACCTTCGTCAGATACCTACCGTACGCGAACATCCCTGCGTTGGCGGTGGCGAACCCATCTGAAACACATCACGCTTAAGATGACCGTCAGACCAACTACTCAGTAGCGCGGAGACTTAGTTCGTCAGTCCAAGGCTAGAGAAGTACTAGACGCTATCATCATTCAGAGCTCCGTCCAAGTGTGTCTTGCTTTCTCATGCTCTCCAGCAGACGGATCCATCAACACTGAAAACTATCATTAGTTCAGAAGGAGGGGTACATTTAGGGTGTTCAACAGTGGTTGGTAAGTAGTTCAACAGTGGCTAGCATAAAATCGGGCTTCGTCCCTGGATCTTGTGGGTACTACTGATGGGCTCATCTCTCATCTGCCGACCTCAGATAGGTCCGTCGTGCTTAGCTTCCGAAGTTGTCTGAAAGATGACTCATGCGAAGTACCCAACAAGCGACTAGTTAAGTCCCTATCTAAACAATTTAGGATCGTCATCACCAGCAAGGACTGTTATCATCCTATCCCATTCGAACGAATCTCGGCAGAGCAAAGTTATGCTGAGTATTCAACTTCGCAAATTTTTGAATACTAATCATTAGACCCCACCGCCGGGGGCTTTACCATGTTCCTATGCCGTAACGGCCCCATCAGCGACCTGTCTTGTGCTCTGTACTACGGTTCGCGAAGCATTTAGAATACCCCACAAATGGCCCTAAGGCTGGGCTCTGCCCAGCGTGAGGACATTTCCAGTTGGGTTCAGGCCCCGTAATGGAGAGTCTTGTAGAAAATCACGGCAGCCGACCAGAAGGGGCTGTTCAAGGAGACCACCTCCCATCGAAGACGGATGGATCAGCATCGCCTGGTGTTCCCTGGATGGTTGTACACCGCTTCTCTCCTGCCGCACCAATCAGCAGCTGTCAGTCATCCCAGGGCCGTTCGACTTGACATGGAGGGATTCACGCATCGGGATCGATTGGCCATCGTCCGTGCGATGAGACAGTCACGTTACCCTAATTACTATTGTCTATGGGTATTCAAAACCACGGCGATTTGCCGCCATGTTTTATTACACTGACACACACCCAACGTTCAATCGGTCGAGATCACCTGGGCGGAGATTACGTTGATTTGACTGATCCATGGAAATCTGGCTGACCGCACTCTCAGTGCTTGGGAATCATTGTTAGGTTATCCGGCTATAAACCCTGGTTCACACCAAATAGCCCACCACGAGTGGCACCAGTAGAAAATTCGCAGCGATTCCTCAGGGATCGGGCCAAGGATGGTAAAGGAGGTTACCGGCCTCCCCAACCTACCAAACAAACTGTCCGTCACGTACGTTTTGGGACGCGCGTGGCAATCCGTAAATATTGACTTTCTGGTACTACCCTCGAAGAAGGTGAGTAACCCCGTAATCACAATAATATACATACAAAGTCCATTTGGTTAGTCTTCGAGCGTTAATAATGTCGCAGATCCATGCGCCAGTAAGACCTAAAACACAAGACATTTATCTTATCGCCGAAGGAAGGAACCTTCCATTTGGGGGAGGGAAAGTTTTAGCAACTGAAAAAAGACGAAAACAAAGATGTAAGGAAATGAAATAATAATAGAATAATAGTGTTGCAACTATGACTTGCACCGCAGCCGCTATTAGCCCCGGAAATCTTACTCGCCCATGACTCTGGAGTCGATGAAGCAGACAAAGTAGGTAGGTGATCTGTGAGCCCAACTTCGTCTTTTAGGGTATGCTCTGGCCCAGGTACGTGCGGTGGCTAGGGCGTGATCCGCCGTCACATCCTTCGTCCCTAATCAACTCGGTGTCCCCACCTGATGCAGAAACACTTGCAGAGGCCACGCTCTCGACCAGCACACCCAACAGGGGATGCTCCTTGCGCCGCTGTCCAGCAGGGAGGAAATCATTAAATCATCAGTTATGTTGACGCTGATCTGCGATCGTAAGAACTCCTGCCATGCCCGAGGACCTCAATAATCAAGATACCAGGTCATGAAGAGGGAAGCTAGAGTGCGAGAAAGAAAACCGGACAAAGAATCCATCCATGTTCTTTGAGATGCTGCAAACCCAATTCCCGGGTGGGATAACTGTACCTACCCAGGGGCTACTACTGGTCCCAACGCAACAAGTCGTGCAGTAGCATTTTAAGTCAGAGATCTAAGCTCCAATCACGGGGCCGGAGGTCACGATTCATTCATGATCCGCCCGAAAAGCAAATGATCGACCAGAAAGTTGGTTGTCATCAGAGGAAGACAGCTCACCAGCTTCGGGAGGGGTGGCATTTGATTAATAACAATCGTAACGGGTGATGAATGGGCTCTTTGTTTTTTCTTTTCTTTTCTTTTTTTTTTTTTTTCTATTTTACCAGCTTCGTATTTCATCACGCACGCCTGGTAGAATTTGACGCGCTCGGTCTTGGTACGTACAAAGGCAGTTTACTTTTTTTTTTCTTTCCTCCGGAGATCTTCGAGATTTCGGAGCTTGAAAAAGGGAGTTAGGGCAAAACGTCGTAGAATTACTAGAAGATTACGGTCGGAAAACGAAAGAGAAAGAGGGATGATGCAATCTACACAGCGGTACAAAGAGTCAGAGAGACTGTAAATACTGGAATTGATTTTGCCATGTCCACGGTTAGTCCCAGGGGGGAATATGTTCTCGCCCATGCACTTAATAAATGGATTGACAGGGTAGTTTAGAGACAGACGACCGGGGAGCTCAGTCCCAGGAAAGTTGTCGGGAAGGGGGCAGACAGACTAGTAGTAGTAGTATCGCGCCCATCCTCCCAAGCAGCTTTCACGCTCCGCTTCCCAAACGAGTCGAGTTTAGCAACTAGACAACTTACAGGCTCCCCGCTTGCTTTTCCCAGCCGCCCACGCCTCGTCTTTCTTCCCCTCTCGCTTCCCACTCTTCTTGTCGCCTTTCCCCCCCCCCTCCCCTCCCCCTTCTTCTTCCCTTTCCCTCTTGGACTCCAGAGCTCCCTGTACAACAATTTATCTTTCCTTCTCCATTGTTATTTCCCTCTCCCCCATCTCCTTAGTGTTCGTTCGCTCGTTATTCTCCTTGCTGGTCCACGCTGCTCTCGATCCCGAGAAAGCGTAGGGTCAAGCAATACCGACGACCACCGCGCCCCTGTGATTCCACCACCATCATTGATCTCCGCACCGTCAGGAACGCATTGCTAGGCGGGAGGACGGCTCTCAACTTCCCCCCATCAACCGGTCCTTACTTGCGTGCACACAAAAATCGTGGGCAGCAAAAAGTCTTTTTTTCTCTGTTCCTGAGAATTTAACCTCTCGAGGCGTTCATTGCGTGTAAGTCGCTGTTCTTTTCCGAGATCTTCTCCGCCAAATCACCCCTCAGCCCCTCTTGGGTCCCCTTACTCCGTACATTGCCCGTTATCTGGAGCAGCACACCGCCAACCAACTCATCCTTCCCAACTCCTTGGTTCCTGTACTCTATCCTCGGCTTTTTGCTTTGCTTGCAATCGCCCCAAAGGATGACGATCGTCTTATCGCTGCCTTTTTAAGCCTCGCACCATCCACCCCCCCATCCTGATATAAGCTGACTGCTGACTCGTTATGGCTTGCTGATGATATCAGTCCAGTGTGCTCTCCGTCCCGAACAATCTGCCCACCATGGCATTCAAGAACGGACTTAGTGAACGCCTCGATGAGCTGCGATTCCCTTCCCCAAGGTCGCCTCCCTCGGAGTCCGCTTTCCCCGGCTATAACTCGCTCTCCCCGGGCCACTCCAATTTCGTCTCGGCTTTCTCGCGACCCTCGGGCGATGTCCGTGGGAATCTTCAGCGCCGATTTACAACCGATTCCAGCAAGCTTGCTTCCTGGAGTCATTTGAACCATCTCGGGAGCAGCTCTCAGCTCCCGGCTCCAGATCATCTGGATCTGCTTTCATCGGTAAGCTTAGCCACGTCACTGAAGTCCCCGATGCACATACCCAGCTATACATGAGGTCTTTGCTCTGTTAGCGCTGAGATCTTCGCTTGTCTTGTGCTACCTGGATACGGTTTGCTTTGGTGCTCCACTTTTATCTTTGTTGCTTCGATTATCTTTTGAGGATCCACTGGAAGAATGGCTTCACCATGACCCACTTCCGTTTGTGGAGTGCTCAGACATGCGTTCACATGCTTATTGATGACTTGAGACTATTGAAATCGCCTCTGACACCATCACAGTTTGAAAAGAAGCGCCAGCACATTGAGTACATGCGTGAACAAAGGAGGAGATTTGAAGAGGACATGAAGCTTTTAGACATGCAACATGAGAAAGAAAAGCAAGATTTGGAGCGCATTGCTGAAAACCTAGCCAAAGTTGGCATGTCTGGCCCTGTCAGCGAACCTACAACACCCCCAGAGTACCGTGAGAACAACTATCCTGCTTTCACCCGCCCTACTCGGTTCTCAACTTCAAGTGTTACTTCCTCTCCCGGTTTCTTCAATGTCTTTGCACCTGCTCAGGTCACTACTCCGCCGAGCCAGGTGAATCACAACTCTGCTCAAACACCAACCAATCGTTTCTCCGTTCACTCTGTTCCTGGTTCTCGAAGGAACTCAGAGAAGGAGGACTTCACTCAAGAACCTACTTCACCTTTCCGTCCAGGCCCATCGTAAGTAACTCTTGTTGTTCTCCCTGCGCCCTCCTTTGATCTCCTATTCATCAGCCTCCCTGTCCTGGTCCGGCGTGCTGCAACACTCGCTCCTGTTGAAGGTGCATAAATAGGGCCGCAGCCTCCCTCTTCTTCCAAGAATCCTCATCTCCCATTCTCTTCACATCTCACACTACCCTCACTTCTATAAACTCAACACTACTTGAACTGAGCTCAGCCCCCAACCCTTGCTACTATCTACCTCATCATCTGCTCAGCCAACCCTCACTAATAACATCTTCAGTATTCATCGCTACTCGATGCCTTCTACAGGCTTAGGATCGCAGATCCGTCCAACCCTATCGGGCTTCAACAGTTCGTCCGGTTTGGAGTCATTCAATGCTTCCAAATATCTGTTTCATAACGAAGACGACCGGGCGACTTTGAAGGACGAGGACAGGATTCCGACACCTGACTTCAAGAGTATCCTTAAATTGACTGACACTGACGACAAGTTCCCGACCCTGTCTCGCAGAGACGACTCAGGCCTGGTAAGTTCAGACAAGACGGGCGAAAGTTACATTATGCTAATGATAAGGCCAAGCTGTCTGCGAATTCGGACGCCCTGGACCTCGCCAATTCACGTACTCCCAACCCCGAGACTTGGAACACTCACAGTCGGCACCGCACTACTCACCAGAGCATGCCACAAAACGCTCTGAACATGTTCCGTCAGCTTGGTAACCAAAATGATGAGAATCATGCTCATTCTTCGAACTCTGCTCGTCATGCTGCCAGACATTCGCTGGAGGCGAACCTGCTCTACAGCGCCGAGGACAATTCTGAAAACCTGACAGCTACTGCTTCCAGCAGACCTGCATCCTTGCAGTCTTCATACTCGACCAACGATCTGCCCACAGTCAAAGGCGAGCCTTTCAATGCCGCCGTCACTCCTCCTAAGACGCATGCCGAACAGATTCAACACAATGCCAACCTTGGTCGGATTCCTGCTGTTAACCATGTGAACTCCCGCCAGCAAAGGGAATCGCCTGAACGCGATGAAGCGAGATTGCAGGGGACCCGGGCCCAGCAGACTACTCTGCAAGCTAGTGCCACACCTTTCGGTCCACCAATCACCACCGGACCTGCCAATAGCAGCAGTACTGTCGCACCAACTACTTTGACCCCATTCCAGGCGCCGTTCTATGGGTATGGTATTCAAGCCTACATGGGCGCTCCAGTGCAGGTTAGCGGTCAGATCCAGAACTACAATGCCGCAGCTCCCTTTGCTGGGTATGCTCCCTATGGCACTTATCGCATGCCTGAAGGTTCGGCCAAAAGCGTTACCTCCCGACGCAGCGGCGATAACGATAGCGCTCAGCTCTCTCGCTTCACCAACTTCCCGCTTGAGCATTATAAAGGCGAGTTGTATGGCCTTTGCAAGGACCAACACGGTTGCAGATACCTGCAGAGAAAATTGGAAGAGCGTAATCCGGAGCATGTACAAATGATCTTTGAGGAAACACGCCTCCATGTGGTTGAACTCATGACAGGTTTGTTTGGCAACCACAACCCCAAGTCGCAAGAGCTTTCACTAACCGTAAATAGATCCGTTTGGCAATTACCTGTGCCAGAAATTGCTTGAATATTCCAATGATGAACAGCGTACTGACTTGATCAACAACGCTGCTCATCAGCTCGTTAAGATTGCTCTTAATCAGCACGGTACCAGGGCGCTCCAAAAGATGATCGAGTTTATCTCTACCGCTGAACAAACCCAAACGGTCATCCATTCGCTAGAGGACCATGTTGTCGAACTGGTTCAGGATCTCAACGGGAACCATGTGATCCAAAAGTGTCTCAACCGTCTCTCTGCTGAGGACGCTCAATTCATCTACGATGCCGTTGGTGCCAACTGCGTGGTTGTCGGCACTCATCGCCATGGATGTTGCGTTCTGCAACGATGCATTGACCATGCGTCTGGTGATCAAAAAGCGCGCCTCATTGCTCAAATCACTGCAAATGCATTTGCCCTTGTACAAGATCCTTTCGGAAACTACGTTGTGCAATATATTTTGGACCTTGCTGAGCCTCATTTCACCGAGCCCTTGTGCCAGAATTTCCGAGGCAACATACCCGCTCTGTCCAAGCAGAAGTTCAGCTCGAATGTCATCGAGAAGTGCCTTCGTACTGCGGACTTCCAGATTCGGCGTCAGATGATCGATGAAATGCTGGCAGGAGCCGAACTTGAGAAGATGCTCCGTGACTCATTTGCGAACTATGTGGTGCAAACCGCCATGGACTTTGCCGATGCTGAGACTAGAGCGCGGATTGTTGATTGCATCCGTCCCATATTGCCTTCTATCCGTCAAACCCCCCATGGCCGTCGTATTGCTGGTAAGATCATGGCATCCGAAAGCTCAGGAAGGGGAAGTGCCGCAACCAGCGGGCAAGTGACGCCTAACGAAATGAACTCCGCCCAGCTTCCGGGTCCCCTTCAAGGACCACAGAAGTCATTCATGTATCAACACAACCCTTTCCCAGTCGGTTCCCAGTTTGGAAATCAGAACTTTGGTCCCACCGCTGGCTCCACGACAGGTTCCAACGCTCCGTCTGGCGGACCTAGCGAGGCTATTTTTGCTTCAGCTGTCCCGCAAGCCAACGGCAATCTTGGTGCTCAAAGTCAGTTGTATGCGTACTTCTGATTCATTACGCAGCGCTTTGGTTCACCCGTCCTTCTTCATTGAATTGTACTCATAGTGCGACGACGCTACGATCTTCATGACTCACGGCCCCGATGACATATTGTCAGCAAACTGAAAAGACCAGAATTCCCGATACGAAGACAAGATCTTATTTCTATGCAATCTTTCTGCATATTCGGATCATATCTGATGAGAAGATGTAAACGATGATAAAGCCATTTACTGCACTTCATTTGATGTCCTGTATTCTTTCGATGCCTTGGAGCTTCGTTTAGCACCCATTTGATGACCATACCTTTTGAATGTCTTTTACTTCTTATCCTACATGTTTTCTTTTTTTTCTTCTTTTCTTTTTGCCTACCAGTTCATCTCCGTCAACCAAGCTACTGGTCTGATAAGGAGCAGAGACTGCTGTTTCATATTTGTCCTCGCTTCCCAATTGTGCTTCTAGCCCCCTCTTCTTTTGTGTCTCTTTGTTTCTATCTACCAAATCCTGCTATCTCGACACTTGCATCGGGAGAAGGCTTTGCCTGTCTGCATGGCTCGCTTGGCGCAGCTGTTCTTGATTTTCTGGATGAAGCAATGGATGGTAAAGTTGGAACAGACTGCGAATGATGCCTATGACTACCCTTGTGTTATCAAATTCGGATCCAACTTGCGCAAATCTTGCACTCCGTTGGTTGCAGGTTGGGATAACCAGCTTTGCGGTGTCTGATGCTTTACATCCTTTCCCGCCTGTTCCATCAGCAGTACCAGTAGATTAGATGTACCCATATTTTAGGCAATCAAGATGTTATTTAGTGATTCATTACTCTTTCCGTAATTCTAAAAGTATTACTCGATCGGAAACTCCTTCGCATTTGCAGTACCAGATGTGTTCGGAAGAGTCCTGGTAAAAGCATGTATGGAACACGTGACTCTGTATGACCGTTACCCGCGTTTCTCTTCATTGATCGCTGCGAAAGCCGAAACCTCGAGTTGAGAGATCGCGTTTACCATTCTCCTTTTCTACGCCTCTCCGACTCTTTTCAAGCTTGATCAGGGAACATATAGGCCTTCAAGGGCCTACCACTCATATCTATGCTTCCATCAGAAATCAGCCGGTCGCTCAGCAAACAATGGCCTTGTCGAGAGCTCCAGACCAGGCAGCTCGCCAGTCTTCTCGGCGTATGTTTTCTCCACCAGATTCTCCGAATTCCTTTTGAACAACCCCGAATAAACAGCTAACATATAGAACGCGACCGAATAGCCTAGGGTCTCCAGCCCATCTACATTAGTCGTGCATGGAATATCCGCCACTTGCAAAACGACCATCGTCCGCAACGTCCTCGCTGCCCTCGAAGTACCACATGCTATTGTCCGGAGTCCCGAATGCATCACTGGCCGTCACCTCCTAACGAAGATCCTTTGGGCAACCCTTGAAGCGCTAGGGAAACGCGACGAATGGGAGAAATACGGCAAGGGAAGATGCGAGCATGTTAGCTCTCTGGCTGTGCTGCTGGGCGAATGTCTTGCTTCGTTGTCGGACAGCAACAGCAACAGCAGCAACGACAAGGGCAAGTTCGTGCTGGTTTTGGATGGGATAGATAAGCAGCGTGAAGCTCCGCATACGCTGTTGTCTGCGCTGGCGAGGTTGGGAGAAGTGGTATGTGTTTGTTTGTTTTTTCTTCTAGTTCGTTTTGTTGGTGGAGAGTCCTTGCTAATGAGGTGATTGTTTACTCCGCAGATTCCGTCCCTGTGTGTCGTCCTTATCCTCAGCTCTAGTCCGCGGCCGCTGTTTCTTCAGGCTGCGGGTGTTCCGCATATTAGCTTTCCGCCGTATACGCGCAAAGAGGCGATTACCATTATCTTGAATGCTGGGCCGCCGGTCGTGAGTGGCCTGGACGATGGGGCTGGTTCGAGATTATATCCGCATTTTGTGTCCGCTATCTATGATTCCCTGGTTGGGCCTACGGCGAGTTCGATTCCTACGTTCAAATCGATATGTGAGAAGATTTGGCCTCAGTTCGTTGCTCCTATTACCAACGGCGATATCCCGCCCGGAGGAAGCAACGAATGGGACTTCTCGCGACTTCTGGTCAAAAACCGTGCTTTATTCCGCCATCAAGGCGAAGGCGCTCTTGTACATCACATTGTCACCGAAGAATCCGCTCCCGCAAATGGCTCATTGTCGAAGCCGTCAATGTCGGTCGTCTCCGCCCCTTCACCCCTTCCTTCCCTACCTTACTTCCCGACCTTGATCTTGACCTCCGCATACCTTGCCTCGCATACACCCCAACGACTTGACACCATCTTCTTCTCGAAATTCTCTTCCTCTTCCTTGTCTGCGCGGAATAAACGCGCGCATCACAGACGACGGTTGAAGGTGCTTTCCCGGGCGCAGGCAGAGGATAGGCAGGAGGCGAGCCGAGGCCCGTCAACCCCTAGCAAGAAAGGCAAAAGAGAAAAGACTCGAATCACAAAATCGACTCTGGAGTCTGCCTTTGCTACTTCCTCTGCCACTACTTCAGCTGTGGGCGGCAACGCCGGTATCACCGGTCCGTCCACGATCCTAACAGCCCGTCCTTTCCCGCTGGAGCGATTGATCGCTATCTACCACGCCATTGACCCCAATCCCCCTGCAAACCCCATCCGATTAGCGGCCGTTTCCGATGCGATATATGCGGAGCTTGCTACATTACGTCGGTTACGGCTCGTGGTGCCAGCGGCAGGTCGCGATAGCGGCGGTCGCATGGGGCTCGGGTCAGGAGGGTTAAGTAGCGGTAACACGACCTCGGATGCTGGCGAGAAATGGTGCGTCAATGTCTCGGGCGATTGGATCGGAGAGTTGGCCAAGACAGTAGGCGTCGAGGTTGGCGAATGGTTGGCCGGAGGGTTGGATTAACATCCCCCCTGCCTCCTCGATGGATGGGATATAATTGTGACGCATGCAATCTGGAACCAATCTGGGTTTTGTGTTCATGCTCATTCATCCATTCTTGACTCATGTATTTCTAGTTATATTCCCAATGAGCGTTGCATTTGAATAGAGCATTGTTTTTCCTTTTCTTGGCCACATGAATGTATTCATTTCGTCTTTGGCGTATTCGACCATATCCATTCATCCACCGTAGCTTGCGCGCAGACTAATAAGCTAGGTGTTTGGGGTCCATGTAGGGAACCGTCTCCGGGCTCGAAGCAGACTGAGGAAATGGAATTTGCGTATTGATAGCCTGATAGTGGTGACGAGACTTGTGAACCGGTACGGAGAGAGAAGAGCTGGATCTTGCGCTCGTCGGATGCTAGAGTGAAGTGTCAGTAGATCATTTCATCGTCCACTCGGGGTAGGTAGAATAGCTGAAGAGAGAGGGGGAAGGTAGAGGTAAGAGGGTAACACACCGCTAGCGAGGAGCCCAAGTTCCAAGCTGATGTCGAAATCCGGTATTCCTTCAGGTGAGTAGTCCGCAAATGTAAGATAAGGCTTAGTCGATGTGTGGTGTTTCTTGTTGGGTTGTGGATTGCGTTGGAGGCCGTTGGCCGGGTATCTGATATCGTACATTTGGAGCTGTTGCAGTTCGAATCTTAATGTCAGACACGATACTCATCAAGGTATATGCCGGTGTGTGGGTGGAACACGTACCGAGTTTATACCAGCCACGACGATCCGGTAAGGGTCTACTCTTCGCATCTTGGTAACTGCGTGAGGGTGTTGGAGTCGGGTTGCGCTGCCTCCGCTGCGCAGGTCGTGGAGGAATATAGCCGAGTCTTTGAGACCGGCGGCTATTACATCGGATGAGAGCCATTCGACACTCGTGACGATAGCATGGGAAGAGTCCACTCGGCGATGTAGGATCGGTTTTCCTGTTAGTATGTCGTTCGGAAAGGACTTCTTCGACAATGCCCAGTAGCTGCCAAATCCCTCTAGTGTGTATAGTCCGTCCGAGGTCCCGACGGCGAAGAGCGGCATCTCCCCGGTTGGGCAAGCGGACGAACACCATAGGGATGATGATGTGCGGAGACGTATTGGATGGTAAACTGGATCGTAATAGGTCGGAAGTTAGCAAGCTTGATCGTTGTGGTGCAACGACTGAAAGTGTGGGCTTGCCACCTAGGTACGTACACGACGTGGGCCACCGGTAATCTCCACCTTCGTCGGGATCGGGCAGCATTCGCGGCGCCAGGAATGAATCGCCGTTCGGACCGCTATCCATCGTCGCCCTAATCCTGTCAGCTATCTAGCAATCACAGGATGGGGGATGGTGTCCTTGATTCGTACAGTAGGTAGCCGGTGTGGCTTAGTGAGACGGAGGAAAGCTGCAGGGAGCGAGTTAGTGTGTGTTTGTGATAGGGACGGGTGCTGGTAAATATACTCTGTATGGCTCTTTGAAAAGGACGCGCTCCATCGTGCGATTATATGTCCATTTATCTTGGTCGCAATCCGGGAAGCATACCCTTGGTTGGCGATTAGCTTGCCGGATACACGACCGCGCAGGACGGAAGGTTGAGCTTACGAAACAGACGATTCACCACCACGATGGCCACCTTTTGAGTTGTTAGATTGTATCGGTGGAATAACCTCTACGTAGGGAACAGCTTACTGGCTATCAAGATGCCTGAGCGCTTGTTGCGCAGCACATGCTTGATGGTATACTCATCAGGCCACGGCTCAAATTGGTGAAGTTGGTTTCGACGAAGCTGGCTTGCGTAAATCACGCTCCTCTGCTCTTGTCGGATGCTGGAGGATACAAGTTCAGAACCAATCTCCCTCTGCACTCCCAGTAGAGGGTTTGACAGAAAAGCGGCTCTTTTGATTTTCTCTTTCGTAACTCTTTTGGTCAGATGGATTTTCCTTTGGCGCTTCTATTAAAAGGTAAGTAGGTTGTAGGAGTCCCTGAAAAGGGTGAACACCTACCTCCTGGTCTACGCGCTTCCGCTTGACCGTATCTTGGGTGTATTGCGACCCTGGAGTGGCCTTGTGATTGGCCTGGATCTTGAAGTACTTTTTCTTTTCGGGGTCTATTGAGCGGTCAATGATCGATGCACCGGATGAAGATAGAACCACGTCATTTACCATAGTAGAACCCTGGAATCTCCCTATTCATTTTTCTGGTTAAGAAGTGATCAGATAAGAATAGAGGATGCGTATTATAGTTTTGATTGAGGGGCGCGTCTCAGGGTTGACGCATTCTAGTTTCGAAGTCGGTGGTCGGTGCAGATCACTTGACCGTGATCCTGCTCATCATGCGCAACACACTAGGAACGCACGGCTCTCACCTTCCTCACCTGCAACAGTCGCAATCAACCTCTTCACAGCTGGCGAGCAATCTGGGTTAACTAAGGATCAGGCACCGTGTTGATCAGTAAGACTCTGCGAACGTAAAGTTCTCCATCGCAAGAGAGCCATCAAATGAAACTGACATGACGTCGGGTGTTTGATTATGTAATCTAGTGGTCCTCATTGGTCCTTTACCTCTCCCTCCTCTTTGTATACCTTCATCTTTCTCGGTTCTGTTCTTCACTCTGATCTTGACAAAGAGAAGTTATCACTCGAATAACTGATCACTGTCCTAGATTGTCAATGTAATTGGGGATTTTTCTGCTATTACTCTATTCAACCAATTAGAAATCATACCTCCATCATTGCTTATTCGTGTGAATATATAGTAAGTACAGTCCTAGTAGTACTACTAGTACTTGACGAACCGAAATGGAACAGGCAATTCTACTTAGTAGTACTAGTAGTACTTACTATCACCATCAACAGGATGATAAGTACAGTTACTTAGTACTTTCAATTCTTCGGACTTAGTAAGCGCTCCATCAGATGATAACGTTTGTCAGATTGATTGTCTCCAAAGTCACTAACGCTGGGTAGTTCCTTCCACTACTACTGCTACCAATCATGACTTGCCTTTCTTACGATTTAACTATGGCATTGCTCTTGTCGACGTTCCTTCCCAATATGCCTACCAATGTATCCAATACCAGTATTGGCACTTTCTCCCCATATTCATTTGAAAAGTGCCAACAGTTATAGGCTAACAGGTCCTTACGTGTATCCTCAAAAACCCCTATTGCTCTTACGCGATTACTGTGCTCCTCCTAGTTATAGACTTTAAGTGTTCTCTTTATAACTGTGATGTCCTTTACTTACCCTAAGGAGATGGACACCGAGCATGAGTTTGAACAGAAGATATCGGGAGAGGCCAAAGCACCGGCCGACATCGATAACGATGAAGGTGAAGAAGAAGATATCGACACTCTTATCGTTGAGTTGGAGTCTGTGGATGGCGGTGCAGATTTAAACACACAGGAGAGCCATCAGACCGGTCGACTTCGCCCTATCTCGGATAACCTACTTCAGACAGATCCCTTGACAGGCCTTGATGAAGCCGAGGCAATCCTCCGTCGCAAAAGATTTGGCTCCAATGAGATGAAGGAGGAGAAAGAAAACCTCGCAGTGAAATTCGTTTTGTTCTTTGTTGGGCCCGTGCAGTTTGTTATGGAGGTACGTGCACCACGACATGAGAATTCTCATCATTATTTTCTTTCCGCTAATGTTCACACCTTTAGGCGGCAGCCGTATTAGCTGCTTATCTTCGAGACTGGGTAGACCTAGGGGTTATCTGTGGCCTCCTTCTACTTAATGCGTCTGTGGGGTTTGTCCAGGATTTCCAGGCTGGGTCTATCGTCAAGGAGCTGAAGAAATCACTAGCACTCAGGGCTGTTGTGTTGCGGGATGGCAAGATGGCAGATGTTGATGCAGCTGAACTGGTCCCTGGAGACATAGTGAAAGTCGACGAGGTAACAATCCTGCCGCGTCGGTTACTGTCTAAAGTCTCTGATCATTGCCACAGGGCACTATAATTCCTGCAGATGGCCGAGTGATGACCAATTCGCCTATCCAAGTCGATCAATCTTCTGTGACGGGCGAGTCGCTGGCAGTTGACAAGCACAAAGGAGATATTTGTTACGCATCATCTACCGTGAAGCGCGGCTACGCCCGAATACTCATTACCGCCACTGGAAATTGGACATCTGTGGGACGTGCTGCGGCGCTGGTCAATGCTGCGTCAACAGGCACCGGCCACTTCACTGAAGTCCTTCATGGTATCAGTATTGTCCTCCTTGTCCTTGTCGTCATAACCTTGATTGTTGTCTGGGTATCATCATTTTACCGTTCAAACAATACAACAACTATTCTGGAGTTCACCCTGGCCATCACTATGATAGGTGTTCCGGTAGGCTTGCCAGCTGTTGTCACAACCACGATGGCCGTTGGTGCAGCATATCTGGCAAAGAAGAGAGCGATCGTCCAGAAGCTATCTGCCATTGAATCGCTCGCCGGAGTCGAGATACTTTGTTCTGACAAAACCGGCACATTGACAAAGAATAAACTATCATTGACAGAGCCATACACAGTGGCTGGGGTCAATCCTGAGGACCTCATGCTAACAGCGTGCTTAGCTGCTTCAAGAAAGAAGAAGGGTATGGATGCCATCGACAGAGCATTTTTCAAGGCATTAAATGAGTACCCAGACGCCAAAACAATGCTTCCGCAGTTCAAGGTGCTCGAGTTCTCCCCGTTTGACCCGGTCTCAAAAAAAGTCACGGCAGTAGTACGATCTCCCCAGGGCCAACGAATCACGTGTGTCAAGGGATCCCCTTTGTTTGTATTGAAGACAGTCCAGCAGGATCATCAGATACTGGAGGATATTGAACAGGCATACAAGAACAAAGTGGCGGAGTTTGCAACTCGTGGGTTCCGCTCGCTTGGGGTGGCTCGGAAGTGCGGTGATGGCGAGTGGGAGATCTTGGGCATAATGCCTTGTTCGGATCCTCCACGACATGATACAGCAAAGACTATTAAGGAAGCCCAGACTTTAGGGCTGTCTATCAAGATGC